CCCCCCCCCCCCCCCCCCCCCCCCCCCATGATTGTCAATATTTATCCTGTTCATTTTACAGTTTCACATGTAAATTATGCAACTTGGATTGATTTCAGTTTCATCCACCGCCACGATGAGGCCTTCTCCACCGAACCCCTAAAAAACACCGGCCGCGGCCCCCCTCTGGGCTTCTACCACGTGCAGAACGTAAGAAGCACCACCCAGTCGGTACAATGATGAGCTGTGAGGTTGGAATAGGTGAAGTGCTTTAACATCACTGCGTTGTTTTTATAGATTGCTGTTGAGGTGACTAAATCCTTCGTTGACTACATCAAGACTCAGCCAATTGTGTTTGAGGTGTTTGGACACTACCAGAAACAGCCTTTTCTTCCAATCTGTAAAGACGTCATCAGGTACCAGTCAAGAAGTCTACCGGTAGACAGATAAAATGTATACAGTTGTGTTTTCATAAAATGACGATTATTATTTCCACTACCAGTCCACTACGTCCCTGCAGAAGACAGTTCCCACGAGTGATGCCTCTGTCCAAACCAGGTAAATAAACTCTTGGCAGAGTGGCTTGAATTCCACCATTTATTCATGTTGTATTGTCTTCGTACTGGTCTGCCTGCAAGTCATGTCATCGTAGCTTCATGTTGTTGGGTATGAGCAGTTGACTCCGACACCTCGCCGGACCGGGAGAAATCGCTGGACCTGATCCGATACCTGGTCCCAGATGTGTTCAATAGGGTGCTGGTGGACTCGTTGTCAGACACCGCTCTGTCTGCCGCTGGCTTGGCTGCTTCCTTCTTACTGGAAGGAAACGAGCGAGCTCAGCTGACAGCCCCGCCCATCTCTATCTGTTCAGTTATTAAAGCTCAGAAGCCGGGTTGGTTAATTGATGTCGGATCCAAGTGAATCCTGTGACTGACAGCCTTTTTATATCAAGTGATAATCTTGGTGTGACTTCAAAAAGGACTCCCAAAGCAGTTAATGAATTGAGTAATATTTCTGAGTACACAACGTGTTACTTTTATGTAGAGGTGGAAGCTGCTGTGACAACAAGCATCAACTCTGCTCACACGTAACACTGAAGTCCTTCCGTCTGTTGGGTTGATGTTCTGTAAATGACTGTGGAGTGGGAGATAGTGTCCCAAAAAAGAACTAATCATTAGCAAGTTTTAAGGTCTTTTAAAAATGCAACTATTTGATATAAAAAGTTAGTTTTCTTGTGTCAGGATTCAGTTGGATTGGCTCTCTGGTGTCCTGTGTGTTTACTGTGAAACCTGCGTGTTGGATTCTCCTTTCAGTTCTCCCTCTTGTTGAACTGGATCACAGTGCCTTTCTGCTGCAGTAGTCGGCCATGAATAATACTCTCTAAGATGGGAATGTTAAATATGCATTTATTACATAGATAAGACTATTTTTATTGATCTCTAGTGGAACAATTGGAGGAATGCAGTTAACCAATCGTGAGACTAGATTTAATAATGTCCACAAAACAATGATGATCAACAACATCAATACTGTTAAAGGAGAGTAATGTTCAAGGAGTTTGTGCATATGCTTTTCCTCAAGCCAGAGCTGGTAAAGACTTATGAATACATAAGTAAAATCTGAAATAACACAACAAACTTTAGTGGTATTCTCCTTTATAGGCAGGAGTTGCCTATAAATCGGCCGGAGGAAAGGAGCTTCTTCTGCAGGATGAAGCGGTTCCTCTCTTTCCCTGCATCACTGATTTCCTTTCTTCTTCCCTCTCTCTTCCCTGCGTAGCTGTAGAGCAGCTCCCTGCTGTTATCCACAAGTCTGCTCTCAACCTGTCTTACACTCTTCTTATATCCTTTGTTTCAAACACAGTACCTGCCACTAAGCTGACGGCTATGACCCGCCCGCAGGCAGGACCCTGTCACTGCAAATATGATCTCATGGTGTTCTTTGAGATCTGTGAGCTGGAGGCCACTGGAGAGTGAGTATCCTGAGACACCCCTCGCCAAACATGATTTGGAATGTTTTGGGAGAGCTTCCCTTGACTAATTATTGTTATGGAATAGTTATAACGATGTTAAAAAACGTTGCAAATGTCTCCAGCACCGTTAGTCAGTGGCACATGAAATCAGCGAGGCTTGTTTTCACCTGTGTCTCCTCAGCTACATCCCTGCAGTGGTGGACCACAGAGGAGGAATGCCTTGTCATGGCACATTCCTACTGCACCAGGTATGTCCATCATCACTCTGTGAGCAGATATGATATTTGGATTATTAGAAATGAACCGGGCATAACCACGTCTATTTTTCGGTCTTCTCTTGACAACCACAGGGCCTGCAGAGGAGAGTCACTGTTACCATTGTACACGAGTCAGGAGGTGACATGGAGTGGAAGGATATCCGGGAGCTTGTTGTGGGTGAGTTTGGTTATCAGCCGGTCTTGTCCTGAAAACCGACCGGAGATATTGCCTCGTGTGTGAGCTGCTCTAACTGGGGCACTTGTGTCTTCCTAGGTCGTCTCCGCAACACCCTTGAAGCTGATGAGACCATCATTGACCCAAATATTCTCTCTCTCAACATCCTGTCTGCTGGTTACGTCAGACCCATGAGGGATGACCGGTACGTACTGGTGGAGACATGTGATGGAAAGATCTTTGCAAGATTTTATAGGTTTTATTAGATTTTCAATATATATGGTCGACGGGAATTCAATATTAGTGGCCACATGTATGTTATTTGTTTATTACAAGGTTGTGACAGCTTGGCTGAATTTGGAAACAGTTCTATGCCTCAACAAGAGTGTTATCTGAGGACCTCACTTTATTGCTGTTGTGGCAGCTCCTGCACTGGAACAGGCAGATGCATGGCACACAGTAGTGAAACTGCTGTACTGCTGTACCCTGTCCATAAAAAGCATGGCAGAAGAGGCACAACCTGAATGTTAATACTTATTTTGTGATCTTTTATTATTGTGTCTGCATGAGAATAGTTTCCTCTCTCTCTAACTGCAGGAGGCCACACATTAAAACAGAGTGACCATGAGCAAAGTGAATCGGAAAGGTGTTTTTGAAATCGGCCACATTTGAGTCATGAATTCACTGGTCCACGCTGGCTGTGCGACCCTCCTTGGTGCTTATCTGTGCTTTTGGTTCATTTGATTGTCATCATTGTGCCTACACGTTGCATCTCACCTTGTTTTACCACCTCACCTCTAACCCGTCTCATCTCTCAGCCATGAATAGATCCACTAACCCCAACGCTGAAGCTGCTTGTAGACCCCAAAAAGCCACACCTCTTAACCAAGCACCCTCGATTGACTGTATGAAAAAGGTCTAATACAGTAGCACACCAAAAATGACATTAAAATGCATGTCTTTCTAACTCCAGCAGCATGTATCACTGCGTAGTGTAAAATCACTAATAAACATCAAGTATCTGTATTTGGACTCAATGTGATGCCAAACCATCACGACTTTATTGAATCCCATGATTAACTCTTCAGACTGAAGATAACAACGGAAAAACAATCTCTGTTAATCATGCACTGACGGATGTAATGTCTAATTAAAAAACAAACTTGTGACTGTGACATCTTATCGGAAAAAATGTACATAGGTTTCCACAAAAAAATGGGCCTTGGTCCTAAGTACTTAAATAGTGGTAAAGTAATGTTTTATGCAGCTCTGCAGCCAGCCAGTAGGGGGCAGTACGTTTCTTTACATTTTTAAAATTTAAGCATTATAATGAGAACCTGTGTCATATGTTATGTAGGTAGCATGTTTATTTGCATATATTTAGCGCAGTAATTATTATATATTCCTGTTAACTCTTCACTGGTTTTCATTTAACATCCACTTACCATTAACATCACCACTGTATGGTGGCACATAAAGTGGCAGCATGTGTTAATAAGGTATATTGACAATGATTCGAGTGGACAAATATCAGTTTAGTTTTTCTATTAATATCTTTCATCCAAAATTATTATATTATCCAAGTTCAACTCATGGAAAATGTAAAGTATTTTCGCCATTCAACTCACGCTTTTGGTGCCCCTCTGTTTTCGGCTCATTGCTTAATCCCTCTGCTTTCCCAACAAAAAGCCAAACAATACCAGCAACCGCCATCACCCAGACCTGGGTTCACTGAGTTTTAATCTAACGCAGCCACGCGCTCCACGCAGTACTGTCCAGCGGCCCTGCTCGACCGGCCTTTCTCTGACCGCGGTGCTGACCCCTTTGGGTTTTCAGCCCTCAGCGTTTGTCCTGTTACGGGCTCAGCGGCCAAGAATTGGGCTTAAGGGCTCAGCACCAGGTCAGGCTGTGGTCAAGTGTGGTCTCTGCTCAGTCGTGCAGAGACTAATATTAAGGTATATATATATATATATATATGTGGATGCTAACATTTTTCTCCCTCCAGTCCACTAACAGAATGTTGTTGTTTTTTTTTGCTTTTGCAGACAGTTTCTTGATTCGGACATGCCTAGGTATATTATTTTGCCTCTCTTCTCATGCTCTTAAGTTAAACAGACGCCTCATCTTTCTAACGTCCTGTACGCCCTGTCATTCCCACTCAGCCTCCAGTGCTTTCTTTACCCTCTCTCCTACTCTGCCATCGCTGTCAGCAATTCATCCGTGCCTCTTTGTTTTCATCCCTACATGAGATGTGAGGGATGTGGCTCTGCATGTCCCTGGTTGTCTTGCTGCGCTGGCTGTGTGTGTGTGTGTGTGTGTGTGTGTGTGTGTGTGTGTTTGAGCTGTTATCAGGCTGTGGTTTACGATGGAACAGGGTCTGCATGGCTCGCTTTGCTTCACGTGGACTGTCGTTGGCGGTGTCTCTGCCGGAGGTGTAGGAGGTGTCGTGGGGCCAGTATCACACTCTCTGATTCCTGATTTGTTTACAGCTGTTGATTTCTCCATAGATTCAATTTAAAAAGTCCCATCTGACATGATTGTGCTCCCTTTAGTGGCTGTGCTGAAGAAATTCCATTTGGGTGAGAGGTATTAGTACTTGCCAGAAGAGGGTGTAAGTGATCCAGTTTTACAGCACAGTTAATTTGAACTAACAAAGGCAAAGAGATGCATCCTGTCCTGAGCAAGAACATTCAGAAAATGCTGCTTATTTGCTACTTGCTTCACTCTGTTTGTTGTTTTCATATTGCAGTGAAGCAATATTTTGACTCCATGGATATGCTTTTCTTAGTCATCTCTAATCCCAACAGAGAGCGAGTATTTCCCATCACAGCTACAGATTATTAGCAGGAACACCAGTCATCCGTGCTGTAATATGGATCACATCATTTACAGTACCCACTCTGCAACACTGTTAAAATGCAGCTGTTAAAATGTAATCCACTGAACCATTACCTCACCAGTAGCACTTTGCTCAGTATTGCTGCAATGTTGTGAATATTTCTGAATCTGGTACCTCAGCAGGACTCTGCCAGACACCAGAAACAAACGGCCCCTCACATGTTAGGCCAGCAGCATGACTTCAATCCTGGCTCCCGCGTTTTTAGGAGGTAGTAAAAACGCAGCGAAGCACATGTTGGTGTAGTGCAAAGAGGAAATTGCTCCCTTGTAGTGTAAGCAAACACTTTTCTACTACTGGGAAAGAACTGCTCGTGAGTGTGTGAGTTAACGCACTTGCTAATTACTTCAAAACAAGCCATCTCTACACTGAATCCCCTTTCTTCACACAGAACAGCAGAGAGTTCTCCTTACCACAGAGTCAACTCAGTTCAGTGCTGTTTGCTTTCTTCCTGGTGACACATTGTTCACTTTCCCACAAGGGTCACCTCAGTCCAAAGCCAGCGGGCCCAACATCTGAACCTCATGAAGAGTCCATTCAGCCCCTTTTTTACGGCTTACAGAAACATTATTTTTCTTTTACAATTCATGCTCAGATTATCTTTTTTTTTAAAGTCAAGGCTGTACTGGGATTCGGGCCAGAGGGAATAACTGCTTTCAGTGTGTGATTATTTCCCCTCGGGGGGAGATGGGGAAAAATGCTGTATGTTAACGTATGGAGTAAATCAGAGGCGTAACAGAAAGCAGCATTGTTTTTTTAATCGGGGAACGGCCACACACTGTTATTTGAGCTTTTCTACGGTTCCAAGGGATGGCTCAACGGTCTCTCTTGGGTGAGCTGTACCATCCACGGCAGTGTTTTACATTATGAGATAACAGTGTGGAAAAAAAAGACAAACACCATGCCAGCCACGCAAGCCAACACAACCACAACACACTTCCTGTCTCTCACTTTCTGCTCTTTTGCTGATTTCTTCTTTCTCACAGCATTTCCTTGGGAGTTGACCATAGGTATTTCACTGCCATGTCCCTTTCATCTGGCTGTCTATCATCACCCCCCCCCCCTTCCTTTTTCTGTACTAAGAGTCATCTCAGCTCTCTTTGCTTTTCTGTAGTGTTTGTACAAAGCAGAGCATTACCTCATTCAGCCTGTTGCATGCAAAAAGATTTCATTGATATTTTTTGTTGTACTGAGATTTAAGCAATACTGTTTGCATACTATACAAAGCTAATAGTAAATGAATAGTTTTTAAACATCATAATACTATGTTGTCTGTGTCACAAATCAGATTTTAGTCCACTTTCTGTATGTGAATTTTTTTTGATTATTGAGATATAATGTTTACATCTCTGTTGTTAGGTTGACAGGCTTCAGCATGGGTTCAGCTTTGACTGCTAATTTGTAGTTCAGGACTTAATAGTTGACTGCTGATTCATTTTCTTGTCACTCGGACAACCTCAGGACTTTCTACCGCTTCGAGGCCGCCTGGGATAGCTCCATGCACAACTCGCTGCTGCTGAACCGAGTCACTCCGTACGGGGAGAAGATCTACATGACCCTCTCTGCCTACTTGGAGGTACAGCACAGTGCCTTGTGTTCACCAGAGAAATGGCTCTTACAGCATCAGAAATGATGTGTGAATTACTGTAGAGTATCAATGTCAGAAATCCCTCCTCACATTCCTTTTAGATGGAGAACTGCACCCAGCCCGCAATCATAACCAAAGATATCTGCATGGTGTTTTACTCTCGAGACACAAAGCTCTCGGCCTCGCGCTCTATCCGAAACCTTTTTGGTACTGGAAGCCTAAGAGCGCCAGATGGGTGAGTTCAAAACTTCAGACTTTGGCAAATATTGTGCACTTCCTGTGTTCTCTATGTTGATAAAGAGCTCTGTCTTTTTCTTCTTCTAGAAACCGTGTAACTGGAGTTTATGAGGTCAGCCTGTGTAACCTGGCAGATGCAGGAAGCCCAGGTGAGAGTCGGGACAAAGTTGCCATTTTGCATTAAGCTTGCCTCTGCAACATTTCTAACCCTGCACCTGACCACTAACCACTCCAGGTATGCAGAGGAGACGCAGGCGAGTGCTGGACACCTCGGTGGCCTACGTCCGTGGGGAGGAGAACCTGGCCGGGTGGAGGCCCCGTAGTGACAGCCTCATTCTGGACCATCAATGGGAGCTGGAGAAACTCAGCCTCCTCCAAGACGTGAGGGCATAAGTTACATTTCTCTTATAGCACAAGCTACTTGTGTTAACCTAGCAGCCTACCTGTGGTTATGCTGCTGTTACCAGCCTTCACCATAAATGTGTCTAAGTGTACCGTCATGAAAGCCTTTGCTTCTTTAAGGTTTTAAGTAAATACTGTAGATATGAAATGAATTCATAGAGAGAAACCCTAATATACATATGATGTGAATATAAACTGACATCATTTAAAAGAACAACATGTAAAGTTTCACATAAGATGTTTCTTAAAGCTCAGCTGGGAATATAATCGGTTTCTTGAACTCAACTTTGAGTAAGAAGCCAGGGAACAGGGAATTGGAGACATCCATTCTATCATCTTAAAAACAAGTATGTAAAGTAGCCAAATTGGGAAGTTGCCCTAGTTTCACATACACATAAAACTGGATATCATTGGCGTAGTGTTGATAAGAGACGCAGCCAAGTTGATGGATAAGGTAGACTGTAAAGGGAAAACAAGGTAAGACCCAGGATAGATCCCTGAGGAACTCCGTAGTGTCAGCAATGCATACAAATATGTTATGATTAGAAGAAAAGGATGAAAACCATTCAAGAGCTATACAGTACCAGATATCCCAACCCACTTCCTCAAACTATATAATAAAATATGATTTATGGTATTGAAAGCAGCTGTGCCTCTGATGGAAACCAGACTGGAATTTGTCGATTTGAACAGTTTTCCTGCGCAATTTCCAAAGGTTGCTTCCAGACAACTTTCTTTAAGTTTCACAAGGGACATTGTCAATGATTTTGATTTGTTTTTCTCTCAGGTGGAGAAGACCAAACACTACCTTCTCCTGAGGGAGAAACTGGAGTCTACCATGCTTATGGGCCAGGAGTCCCTGCAGTCCTGCATCACTGAGGAGCTGAGCGAGTCTCCTCAGCCCCCCGAGGTCGACCAGGAGGTCAGCTCCAGCTCTGAAATCACCACTGAGAGGCAGAGGGAGCTCGCTGCCAAGGTCAGCCATCGTCACTCAGCGAATACTGACTTTCATGTTTGACTGAAGCGCAGTCTTAATTGTTTGTCCTGATCTGTCAAGTCTGTGCTGAATATGATGCCTTTTTATGATATTACAGATGTGAATTGAGTCAGATTGTATCTGACCATAGAAGACATTTTAAGCTCCCTGTCCTTTTTTCACACAGTGTTTGCGTCTGCTCACTCACTCCTTCAACCGAGAATACAGCCATGTGTGCGTCAGCGCCAGTGAGAGCAAGGTAGTGCTCAAACACTCAATCAGATGAATGCCTGTTGATTGGTTCCTCACAGTTGAGCGAGCATTCATTTGTGTGTTTGTGTGTGTTGCAGATCTCAGAGATGTCCGTCACGATGCTAAGAGACTCCGCTTCAATCTCTGCTCTCAACACAATCACACCCTCCTCAACATGCCCGTCGCTGGTTGAGGGTTGCTATGGGGATGCTGAACTCAGGTCAGTGCTAAGACACACTTGTATGATTATTTTTGCTGAGTCATCCTTTGTAGCCGTTGTAGCTTCTGTTGCATGTGGCGGTCTGGATTAGCTGCATTTTGAGTATTGCTGACTGCGTGTCCCTTCCTTTGAATATAGTGTGCTGTAGTGTGGTAACATGATGCTCTAATGAGGGTTATGTCACTCATCACTTTGGTTGCATAAGGCGTAGGTAGCTACTTTGTTACTAGGGCTCATAGACCTCCTGTTTCTGTGCGGCAGACCCCCGATGCCTCGCTCTCGCGCCGTCAGCCCGAGTCCTGACACACAGCAGGACGCGGAGGCCAAGAAGTCCGTCAACGGAGCCTCTGAAGCCAAACCACGGATCCGCAGATTTTTCCCTGACATCCAGGAGATCAGAGTCAGGTGAGTCTGCCACAGTGACTCCATCACTTAGTGCTGTGGAGACATCTTTCTTGGTTTCACATGCCGTAACATTTGATCTCTTATTTCTGCAGCCCCATTGTGTCGAAGAAGGGCTACTTGCATTTCTTGGAGCCACACACCAACGGATGGGTGAAGCGCTATGTCGTTGTGCGGCGGCCGTACGTCTACATCTACAACGCGGAGAGAGACTCTGTGGAGCGGGCTATCCTCAACCTCTCATCTGCCCAGGTGGAGTACAGCGAGGACCAGCAGGCAATGCTGAAGGTTGGTGATTAACCCAAGACTCCCTCTTTCTGATCTGTTATTGGTGAAAACATCACGTATGGTATATTAAGCTTTTTTCTTGGCTCTTTCACCAGACCCCGTACACATTTGCCGTGTGTACAGAACATCGTGGAATATTGCTACAAGCCACTAATGACAAGGAGATGCATGACTGGCTGTATGCGTTTAATCCCCTCCTTGCTGGAACTATCAGGTAAAAAATATACATCAATAGGAAAAAGTAAACACACACAAAATGCATCTTTGATACAAATACATTTTCTTCTCTGCCTCTCAGGTCGAAGCTGTCGAGAAGACGAGCTGGACCGATGAGGATGTAAACAAGACTCACATCCCATGAGGGAAGGATGAACTTGAGATGTACATAGATCCTTGTCCTTATTCCTCCCTTTGTGCTGACCCCCCCCCCCCCCAACCCCACCACAGTCACCAACAACCATCTCTCCCCTGTACGTTCACAGTTTATCACTAGTGTCCTCAGCACCTAAAGCGCCCATTTCGTGTCAGGCCTTTGCTGCGTCGTGAGTCTCGTAGTCAGAAGAACCTCTCCAAAAAGCTGTCACTGTACTGTACTGGAGTTTATTCATAGCTGTACGATCGAGGAAAAATGGCGGAAGTAGCAACAGTTTCTTATCTCAGAACACATACGTATGGTAATGTACTGTAGTTGTTGTCAGTGACACATCGAGCCTTATACATTTACTCCTTAAAAACAATGCAGTGACATTTATTTTTACCTAAAGCTGCCACGTCAGTGAGGATCACATTGCTCCATTTGCATCAGTAGATAGAAAAAAAAACATGCAGATTGCTCTCAACTCTACAGCTATACATATATATATATACAGTATATACAGTGTGTAAACTGGTTTGCATACAACGTACAGCTAGAAAGTACACGCTAAAAGAAAAAAAAAAAGACAGTTGAGTGTAACTCTGGAGAATAATTCTCTTTTCTTTCTGGTACTTGAATCTTTAAACTTCTTAGAAACTTTAGCACACAGCCTGGTAAGGGAATGGCATATCATTGTAGTTCTTGTGGCATTTTGATCAATCCATGTCGTTTTAGCTACTCGTAGGAGCACCAAGGGCATCTGCATTCACACAATAAGTAATCACATGTCGTCACCATTAATCCTCCCACGTTGATCTCATTCTCTACCTGAATTCTATTTGTTTTAAAATGTGATATATTTAGATATTTAACAGCTTTACTATTTATTTCTGCATGTATTTATTTACAAAGACATTTATATTTCTAAAGTAGTAGTACCGTGCAATTTCTGCACACCGCACTTTTTAATATGAGTTCCTGAAACAAGGTTGTATTGTGAAACAAGGTTGTATTATGAATAATACAATCTTCCCCCCCCCCCCCCATGCAGTTAATGCTTTTAAAACCGTTTATGATTGGCCCCTTTCTTTGTGCTGAAGATTACTTGAATGACACTATCCCCCTAAGGATAGTCACACCTGACCTTTGACCCAACTGATATACATCTGAAAAGGTCACCAAATTGTTAGGTCGAAAATATTAAGGTGGTCTGACCATCCTCAGCTGCACAAAGCTACTTTGTGAAATGATCTAAAGTATAAACTGTTCCTCACAGTACAGATGAAGAAACTGGTTTTCTGAATGATGTGTACATTGATTAAATGTAGTGCCTCTCTTTTTTCAATCGTACTGTACAGTAAGCCTCTGGACCATCAAACTACATCCTTCATGCTGCTATATTACAGTTCTGGAAGTGTCCGCAGATCATATCACATCACTTTCCTGCTTTCCATCGTCGTCATCACTTACATATTCAGACAGAAAAGGTATCATTTATGTCCATGTTACATATCTAATATGGCAATCAGCTGTCATATAACACGGAACGTCCATAACACAGCAGTATATAGAGTATACTTCATGTCTAAACAGTAAAAACTACTTTAACATATTTCAGGATTGTGTTCAACAATCATGTTTTGAATTGGGGAAAAAAAAATCAATGTACACCTGTTCTTTTTTTTTTATCCATTCATCTCAACTTTGAGGAAAAGTGCGACTGAATTTTCTATTGAATTTCATTCGAGTATGAATCTGACTTCAAAATCAAGTGACAGCTTGTGAGTTGTTGTGTGAAGTTTGATTGATGAGCATGCCTCAGGTCAGCCAGCCTAGAGCGCATGCTCACTGACATACGAGGACAACATCTCACAGCAGCAAACTGTTAAAAGCGCTCTATCTAACGGCAAAGTACATTTTAGCAGAGGATTACATTGTAACAGCAAATCGTTTTTATTTTTGCTGCTGAGGTAATCCATACAATACCATATTTTCAGAGGCTGAAAAGTATTCCGTGTGTCGACTTATCTTAAAACATTTTACAACCCGACATGTGTGCACAACTGTCAGTAGTTGTGGCTAATCAACAAAGTTTATGTAACAAAGTCCTGTGATCATCAAAGTCTATCACAGACTTTCTTGGCAGAGACTGCAGTTATATCTTATCCAGCTATAGCATCGTCATTGAGGGAATTCCCAGCTGTGCATTACACTGTCTCGATCACTCATTTCTGTCTCATATCCTTTAAACCCCAGTCTTAAAATGTGAGCCCGGTATTGCTCCAGTCTGATCTCTGTGTTGAGATTAATCCCCATGTTTTCATTGGGCCTTTTAATGTGCGTCACATTTGAGCCAACCAAAGTTTTCTTGGTGCAGTCACACAAAAATAAATCACACTGAATGTACATTGATATTGGAAAAAAGTTAAACTACTGGACTGGTTATGTTGACTTGTCTTTTGTTTTCACAGTCTGGTTCTTTGTTGATTGTAGGGTAGGTTACTGCCAGGGAACCAAATGGAGGTGGTGCGATATACCTGTAATAAGTCCACTGATGTGTGAGGGGAGCTTGGTTCATTGTGGCCCTGTTAGGCATTGCATCTTGTACAGAGTAATGCTGTAGGTAACCTTACTGTCTCACTTGTATTTTTTCCGTCACCATCATGCTCTGGCAACCTTCACAAATCTACTTTTTCTATTCCCTCCCCCTTTAAAGGAACCTCATTCACATTTTTGTGCTTCCATCTAATCTTAGTTTTTTTCTATTTTCAAATTATTTCTTTTTTTTTCCTGTCTTCAAATTATTTTGCATTGTATATAAACATGATTGCTGTGAACAGTGTATTATAAAGTTGCACCCATTTACAAAATCTTCAATGGGCAGTAGTTCAGTCAGTGTCTCTGAGTGTTGAGAGTTTAGCGTAAAATGTTTGTGTACACTAAACACATTGTCATATATGAAATAAACATGGAAATTATGCAACACAAAGTCACGGACTCCTCTTCTTTATAAGTTCTACGGCATCCACACAAATAAAGCATAAATAAACAACAGAAAAGTCACGTATCCGTCAAATTTAGACTACATGAGATGTGACTGAGTTGCAAGGTTGTTGCCATGTCTGCATGCGATCGTGTTTGGGACTGTTCATATTGCATGTAACTTTATCTTTATTGTTTTAAATACTCATCTACTAGCCTAGAATTTATATCATTTTCGGCATGACACATTTTCCATATTTTCGCGGAGTTTTAAATTTAGTAAACTTAGGTTAAAAAAGAGTGAAAAAGGGAAAGAGTGAACGCTATAGCTTTGTATAGTTTTGCAGACATGGATGGCCAGGGATGAGACAGGTTGGTTTAATGGAACAGTTACACGTTGTCTGTTAACCGGAAGCATAGTTGGTACCAGTAATTATGAATATAATTCATATAATAAACCACACATTAAAACGTTGTACTACATCGTTTGGAGCGTTCTCTGACATATGTAATTGCAGCTTTCCCTTTAAGACATCTGGCAACCCGGCGGAGCAGCGCCCCATACTCATCCAACGCTAGCTAGCGAATGATTGACACAGGCTAGTAAATCCATTCAGGACTCCTTCACATCCCTTCACAAGGTTAGACACACAGCCGAGAGTCTCAGCTGACCGTGTCACACTCATCTTGAGGGCTCGAAAGCAGATTAATAGTAAAATGTACTCCTGCTATCAAACATTAGTTGACGTTAGCATTAGCTAGCTTTAGCTCCAGTTAACAGATGTTACCTACAGTAAACTAGCCTTAGCTAGCTAAATACATTCCCGGTTTGCAGACATGGATGGCCAGGGATAAGACAGGTTGTTTTAATGGAACAATTACAAGTGTTCTGTTAACCGGAAGCATAGTTGGTAAAGCTACCCGTCCCGGTAATGTAGCTGAGTTATCAACGTTACCTGTCACGTCCGCTGCTGACAGCATGGATGTAACGTTAGCCGACAGACAGCGGAATGACTGGACAACATTGGGTTATGTTCACGCAAATGTGTAATTAACCTCTGTACTAGAGACACACAGTTGGCATTTAATCACGTGGTGTGATAATGATTAGCATTCGACACTACAGTCGAGATTCAGATACAGCTGCTGTTTCACTTGCAGACATTCACTCTTATGGGAACAATACTTCTCTAACTGTCCAACCAGCTGTCAAAACACAGTCAAAAGATCAGGCTGCTGTCAAAATAAATGCTACCCCAACTAATTTAAAAGTTGAGAAATATAAATAGAAGTTTTGCTGCAACGAGCTGTATAGTGTTGGATTAAAAAACCCACTGGAATCATTGCCTGACTGTAATAAATCTAAGACATAAGACCTGCTCAATGTTTTATCTCTGCCTATAGTGTCATGGCCAAGCAATCTGATGACATCACCCCAGTAATGGGTCACACCTTCAGTGGCCACTCCTTTCAACATTACTCGGAAATGAATCTAGACAGGTAGGAACATTTGATTTGGGCCATTCACTCTGAATCACATGAAGTGAAAAAGCAAGATGAGATTGCTTTGATGATGATGCTCTAGATGTTTTGTTAATGTGTAAAATATGTAATTTAGGATCTACATGGACTACAATGCCACCACTCCGCTGGAACCAGAAGTGATCCAGGCCATTACTGAAGCCCTCCAGGATGCCTGGGGAAACCCGAGTAGCAATTATATAGCAGGTGAAGAATACTTCAACCTTCATCAAAATGCCATTGACTTAATGTTGGAATGAGGTGTATGTGTGTGCGTAAAGCAATTTCCTTTAACGAGCTAATGATGCTTTTCCCAATTTTCCGTCTCAGCACCCAAACAATAATGTATCTCAGCATGCAACCAATAAAAAGGTGCTGAATCACTTTTATTTGTAGGTGCTAAAGCCAAGGCAACAATTAATCAGTCCAGAGAGAATGTGGCGAGAATGGTTGGAGGGAAAGCAGAAGACATCATTTTCACATCAGGTGGAACAGAGGTAAATGGAATTTTTTTTTTTTACTCTGGTTTTCAAAAAGCTACATCGGTTTTGTGCGACGCTGGAAAATGTTTAGTGCAGAATTGTGGTACCATGCAGTGCAGCGGCGGTTCATAGCAAACAAATGTTCTCTCAGGCCAATAACATGGTGCTGCACACTGCTGTAGAGCACTTCAGGAGAAGCTGCAGGGCTGCAGAGCAACGGGAAGGACACCGGAATGGAAGCAATGGCCTTCCTCACATAATCACCTCGAATGTGGAGCATGACTCGGTCAAACTAGTAGCTGAGCACCTACAGAAAGATGGCAAGGCAGGTAGGAGACCATGCTTTTTTCTTTTTAAACAACTAATCCGATGTAGCTTCTCTACATTTACTTGCTGTCTCGACTTGTTTGGGTAACTGCGTTTTTGTCACAGATGTGACATATGTGCCTGTGTCTAAGGTGACGGCCCGTGTGGAGGTGGAGGATGTCATTGCTGCGGTGCGTCCCAACACTTGTCTTGTCTCAATCATGCTGGCCAACAATGAGACAGGAGTCATCATGGTAAGAAGGAGATAGAGGCTTGGAAACCAGGCCGTCAGTGTTTGAGGCAGGAATTGGTTGTCATGAAGCAGACAGTTGCATTAGCTGATAAGTCCTTCCTTTCATCATATTTTGAATATGATTTAAAATACAATTTCAATGTAAAAACAAAAGGCTCTAGGTGCAGGACAGTCTAATGTGCCCTGTATGCTGAAACTGCTTCGTCTCGTCAGCCAGTCCAGGAGATCTGCCAGAGAATAAAGTCTGTCAACAAGCAGCATGAGCGGCTCAGGATCCTGCTGCACACTGATGCTGCTCAGGCTCTGGGGAAAATCAGGGTCGATGCCTGTGAACTGGGAGTGGATTACCTCACCGTAGTGGGACACAAGGTCAGGAACCTGTTGGATAAAACATCTTGATTTGGCATCGTTAATATTTATACGTATTATTGAAAGGGCTTGTGATATTTCTAGTTCTATGCCCCTCGGATCGGTGCTTTGTTTGTGAACGGCCCGGGAAGAAGGACGCCATTGTATCCGATGCTGTTTGGAGGAGGACAGGAGAGAAACTTCAGACCAGGGTAACACACTACATCGTCTTACTTGAGGAAATATCAACAAAGCACCAAGTATGCATGAAATAACAACAAAGATGGAAATATAAGGGTCCATTTTCTGTCCTTTTGACTATTACAGCACAGAAAACACACCAATGATTGCTGGTCTGGGAAAGGTATGTTTCCTACTTTTTTAAGTTTTAGAACATTTCTCTAGAAGCTTCCACTGAATAATGTTTGACTCTAAATTAGTTGTTTTTTTAAATCTCCCTGATGTAACAGTGCATGTATTGATTTATTGTGTGTCTGTTAGGCTGCAGAGCTGGTGACCTCCAATCTGTCGGATTATGAGAGTCACATGCAAAGTACCAAACTTTACCTGGAAGAACGACTGAAGGTAAGTTTGATTCCGTTTAAAGAGATGAAAAATGTCACATTCTCTGTGATATATGTCAATAGTAACGTTAGCAGTTTCTGGAGTCATTGAGGTTATTATCTGCGCCAGGAAATCATGCGCTCGGGTGTGTGTGTGTATGTCTGTCTTTTTGTTCTTTGACTTTGAAAATGATAACTTATATTATCATCATTCTTACCTTTTATACATAAAAAAAAGTGCCGTCAATGTGTTTTCCTTTTCAGGCCGTCTTTAAAGACAAGATCCGCTTCAACAGCCATTACCCCGGCTCTGATATCCTCCCGAACACATGTAACGTGTCCATCCTGGGCCCAACATTACAAGGTGATGTCATTACTTCTTCCTTCTCCGTGCTATGTCTGTTTTGGCCTGTCCTCCAACCCTACACCAATGTTTGTGGGAAGCAGTTCATGACCTGCACAGGGCCATTTGTAAGCCACAAAGGCTTTGAATGATTAATATCTCTCTCTCTCGCTCTCTCTCTCTAGGCTGGAGGGTGTTGTCCAACTGTAGGAGGCTGTTGGCCAGCGTTGGCGCCGCCTGCCACTCAGACAGTGGAAACAGGTAAAAGAGTCCCTCTTTCACCTGTTACTCTTTTTGTCCGGACGCCATACTGATCGCAGTCCACATAACCCCCACCCCCCTGCGCTGCACTGTGTCCGTCCATCAGGCCTTCTCACATCCTTCTGAGCTGTGGCGTCCCCTCGGAGGTGGCAGCTAGCGCCCTGCGGCTGAGCGTGGGCAGGGCGACGACCAAAGCGGACGTGGATGCAGTTGTGGAGGACCTGAGGGAAACTGTGCGGCTGCTGGAAGAAATGGACTGATGTGCATAAACAGTCGTCCTGTAGGTCAGATAAGGTCAGATGTATAGAATTAAGAACGCATGATCTTGTGTTTTACTGTTACATTCACTGATCATGCAAAACATATGCAAGATAAATAATAAAAGGGAAGAAGTTGAAGTGACCAGAGGGGTGATGTTATGGAGAGATGACTGTACTCAGCTTCCATCACGTCATGTGAGGAGCTAATCAACTAATTGGAGTCAGGGCAACATGTATGAGTGTTATGGAAATAAAATATTAACATACACCTTTGAATATTTTCTCACCAACCCAAAGAGCTATAAAATATTATATGTAGATTATAATCACCTAAATGTATCAACTGTTTAGTCATCCCCACCGAGATGAATTTTTAAAATAGTTGTAAAAAATAACACTCGTAATCCACCGTGCGCTGGCTCCGACTTCTCCCATTACTTAAGTTTCCGTGCCGCCTCAGCTCCCCCGTCTCCAGTGAAGCGTTGGTGCGTGTGCCAGCATACGGTCACCGGAGCACAAAGGAGAGCGGGAGGCCACGAGAGCTGCGCCTCCACCCGTCTTTCATTACCTCTCTATCTCACAGCCCCCCCTCCCTTATTCCCCAACAGCCATGCCGGCCAGCTGGCTCCCTGCTCGGGTGTCACTTTCCTGGCTCGAGAAGAGGCATGCGAGTGCACGGTTTTTTTTTGTTATTGAATGAGAGTTGAGCATGAGCATGAGCGAGAAAGCGATGCTATCCCGGTGGGAGCCAAAGAGCCCCGGGGAGCCCGCTCCGCATGCCACAACCTACCCGTAAGCGGCCGGGGATGGTGCTTCATCGGGCCATCCGGGCTGCGCGAGCGGGGGACCTCGCGGCCCTCAGGGAGCTGGCATCTTCCGGTCGCTTCTCACCTGTGATCGCTGACGCTCAAGGTGCAGGCCCGGTGCACCACGCGGCGAGGTGCGGACGCCTGGAGTGCCTGCGGTTCCTGGTGAGCGAGCTGGGGCTGGCGGCCGACGCCCGGGCCTCGAACAGGGCCACGCCAGCGCACGACGCAGCAGCCACGGGCCACATCCGGGAGCTGCAATGGCTGGTGGACTTTGGAGGCTGCAACGTTGAGGTGAGTTTACCCACTGTGAGAATCTCTACAGAAAGAGAGAGAGGGAGGTAAACCTACGTCAAGAGCTCAAAAGCCTTGGAGAGATGCCACATGTCCAGCTCTCCTGGTAATTTCCACCGACTCCGTTTGTCTGTGAGCCTAAATTCAGGCGATGGCTTCAGATGGTCATCTAACTGATCCCAGAGTGAGGTTACATCACCGCAGTTGTAAAAAGGTACTGTACACTATGGTACCTTTTCAGATGCATTACCAGCTGATTACATCATGTGGTGTTGACTTACTGGGTATCCATTAGTATTATATAGCAAGTGTAATTAGGTCCAGATGCTTGAGGGGAGCTCTCACTGAACTTAGCTATTAGGACTGAGTCAAGTCTACTTACGTGTACATCTCTGCTGTTTCTCAAATGTATACAGGTCCATTGTGAAGAAAACATATTACGTAATTGTTTCTTTACTGATTTTTAATAGAACCAAATGTCTTAATTGGTGGCGCTCATAAAAGAAAAGAAATGCACCTAATGAAACCCCCTCGTCGTGTTGATAATCAAGAATGTCTATTACATTAAGCCTTCACAGTAGACGAGTTCTGCATCAAGCTTCACCCAACTCCCCTCTTTGTTGATGTTTCTAGGACAGGGATGCTGCCGGTGCCGCTGCCCTCCACCTCGCGGCCCGGTTCGGTTGTGCGGAGGTCATCAAGTGGCTGCTCTCTGTTGGAGGATTGGCGGAGGTGGAGACGAACTGTGGGGCTGTGCCGGCTCACTACGCCGCAGCCAACGGGGACCTCACCTGCTTAAAGCTACTCGTTCAACAGGCACCCGGGTGAGTTCACAGCCATCCCTAGCTTTTCTTTTCAAAGCCTGTCAAAAAGAAAAGAGCTGGGATGATGGGGTACCATGGGCACCATAGTAGATGGGTGTTTTGTGGGTGTTTTATTCACACAAACATTAATTGAACGGAGGCAAAACACAAACTCTGGAAAGTTTAACAAACACAACTTAAAATTGATGAAAAGGAAAAAGAATGCAGTTAAAACCAGCAGCCTGATCGCAAGCTCCACCTACTGTCCTACGACTGGAGACCTGTGACTGGCCTTTGACTTTATCAACTGGAACCTACCATCTGCTCAGGTGGGAGGTAGCTAATGTGTAGTCAGCCAATCACAGCTGGTAGCTTACCTGATATTGTAAATGTACCGAAGATCAGCATCACACCAATTGTAATCATCTTAGGCTGTTTATTATCCTCCTAAACACAGATATATAGGCATGTTTGCACGTCACCGTGCTAACAGCAGAGGTACTCGCTGGGGTACCACTGGTTGGGAATGACTGGGTTAGAGGACCTAATCATCACATGGGACCACCGGGTACCTGTGAATAATACATGCTTGGACACCGTTGGTCATTACCTCAGTTATTGTCCCAACTGAACAGAAGCCTGTTGAAGCTAAAAACACCTCAAATCCGCTCTGCATGTTTTTAGCATCATCTACATATCAAACTGATGTGTTGCATCAGGCAGAGTTTTGGTATTTGCGATGCATTCTGTGGCTGTTGCTTAGCTTGATATGTAACTTTGGCCTATTGCCCCCCCCCCCCTGTTGATCTGTGTTTTGGGGTACAGCTGTGTGGACCGCCAGACGCTCACCGGCGCCACCCCGCTCTATCTGGCCTGCCAGGAGGGGCACCTGGACGTCGCGGAGCACCTCGTGAATGACTGCGGAGCCGACGTCCACCTGAGGGCCCACGATGGCATGACCTGCCTGCATGCGGCTGCTCACATTGGCCACCAAGCTGTTGTGGTGTGGCTGGTCAGGAGAGAAGCACAACACCCGTCTCCTACGATACGTACGCATGTGCTTTGTTCAGTCCACACTTCTTAACCTCCCTTATTGACCCTAAACAGGTGACGTGCACTGACGTCAGCCTGTCCTGCCAGGACAGAGATGGAGCCACTGCTCTGCACTTTGCTGCCAGCAGAGGGCACTATTGCATCTTGGAGAGGCTGCTTCACTTGGGTTCAAAGGTCATCAAGGATCACTGGGGGGGGACCCCACTTCATGATGCTGCAGAGAATGGAGAGCTGGAGGTTGGACATGACTTCTTTCTTGAGTTGTTGTCATAGTTTTTGTCTTATCTTATCTAAATAAGCTAAACCGGTTTTTCCATCGTATTGTTCTGTTCCTTCGTTCAGTGCTGTAAAATCCTGTTGGCCAACCAAGCGAACCCTTCAGATCATGACATTGATGGGTTCACGGCAGCAGACCTGGCGGAGTACAACGGACACCATGAATGTGCCAGATACCTCTGTGCCATTGAGAGAAATGTAAGCTCCCTCACCTGTTTCACTTCACACATTCTCCTGCTCTGTGTCCTCTCTTTGTGTCAGCACTGCCCAGCTGTTTACCTTGGCGCGAGAAATCAAAGCTGGTCAGCGGTCGACGGCGAACATCTGGAAGATCTTGGCGAATCCTCGTACTTAATTTGCGGCGTGTATTTGGCGTGGGGTCGAGCGTGCTCTTCTCCAGCGCCGCTGTCCTCCACTCAGCCTGATTGCTTTGCTCTCAGTTTAAGAGGGCCGAGGAAGTGGAGGACGATGGCTTTTGTGTTTTTAATAAGGCGTTCGTGGTGCCGTGAGTGCCGGAGGAGATCCGTCACTCTCTGCTTGCCGCCGAGGAGATAAGCTCTTTTGTTTGGTGCAGAAAGCACGACACCCCCTTGATGTGGCTGATGAATATTTTAGCGTGAACACATTGTTTGTGCCTGTTCAAATCAGGGGTCAAGGCAGTTAAAAACCGGCCTGCGTTTAACTCAAATTACTCTTCAGTTTGCTGTGTGAAGCCTCTTTGTATCTTAAATCGTTTGTTCTTCTTTTGAATAGCTGCATAATAATTAGGTTTAGAGGAGGACAGCTAAAGCTGATGCTGAAATTTGAGCTTGTGGAGTCTATTTGAAATAGGAAAGAGCTTCTACTGTTAGCTGTCAACCGACTTGTTGAACCTGAAAGCCTCGCAGCTGTCCACCTGGGGCCTGTCCTCGTTTCTCCCCATCGCACTCCGCCCGCCGCCCTAAAGCACAACGATGCACACAGAGAGTAACGAAAGCTCTCCGTCCAATAGAAGCCATTAATTAGTCAGCAGAGACGAGCAGCGCTCATACACGAAGAGGATGATGGTAGGGAGCCGGCGGAGAGCTTCCATCCTTCACAAATAATCCTCCCTTCAACAATGGGGAGCTAATTAGCACGGGGGCCGCTGCGATGTCGGAGCGCAGCCGGAGCCGCCGCCAACTAAGGGCCTATCAGTTACCCCTCTCCTGTGGCTCAGGTGGAGGGCCCGGGGGCTGAGCGCGTTACGAGATCCACAAGCTTAAGTTTCAGTGTTTGCACCATTCTGATGCCTGGAACCGGCAACTCTATCCCTCTGTGGACTCGGAGAGCAGGATGTCACCGGCTTCAAACACACGTTTGATTGTGTGTCATGGTTTTTATTTTTTCCAGTGACTTGGAAGTGCTATGATTGTCACCTCTGGATGTTGGGTATAATGATGGTAACAGACAGAATGATGTGTCTGGTTTCTTGGCAACGTATGAATCGGACACACAGGCCGAGGCTCGCCGTGCACAGAGAGGTCATCTGATGGAGAACCTGAAGCGGCAGTTAATTGACTTTACATCCTCGTAATATTTGGATGGTAGACTATGTAATGCTTTGAAAATGTACCGTGCCGCAGGTGCGCCGTACATGTAGACGTGCTTTAACTATATTTCTGGTGGTTTTGGGTTTGTCAAGCGCTGCGTGGATCTAAAGTTCTAAAGTGTCAGTCAGATAATCTCATTTCCGAGCAGCGACCCAAATGGATTGGGACATCGACCGGGGAGAGCTGTGTGTGTTTGGAACCGCTCACAGCGAGGTCAGACCCCGCTGCTCCTCATCTCGCATCTCAGGAACAGCTGCAATCAAATAAACAGTGTGCGGCCGGAGGTTTACTCCACACACACGCACACACACACACACACACACACACACACACACACACACACACACGTTCGTGGCTTTTGCGCTCCATTCACAGCGATCGGGCCCAAGTTACTGTTGTTTGAGGATGGTATTTTTAGAACACTTGGACCGAGGACACACATTGTCTAATTCATCACTGTGTTTTTGTCAAGATTTCCGCTTAGTGTTTTATTATTTTGCACTGAGAAAGAAAACACATGCTTTCGTGACTTTTATTTGTATTATTAATATAATATATAATCAACATTATCACTAGTTGACATCTATTAGATTAGATCAAATAATAATCTCCTGAACCCCCCCCCATCTGTTGATCTGCCACAATCTCACGAAGCCCGGCTGCATCACAGTTACATGTGTGTCACAGATGGGGAGATATTTTGCAGAACTATAAAATCTGTTCTGGAGTATCCCCATACGCAATGTAACACTGTATACATAATGTACACAATGTAACACTGTATACATAATGTACACAATGTAACGCTGTATACGTAATGTGCACAATGTAACGCTGTATACGTAATGTACACAATGTAAAAATAGTACGGAATGCCAAGGTTAACAGCTGTAGAGCTGGAAAAATGTGTCCATTAAACGACCAGTTGATAGACAAAAAAATGATTTGTAACTATTTGAGGTAATTTTTTTTAAAGGTGAAATGCCAAAAACTCACAATTCTCCTTTTTATTATCTTTTATTTACTAGGGTCTCCAAATAAATTTACTGAATTTCGTTCGTAGTCTTTTATTTAACTTTTAAACCTGCAGTACACTTTCTAGCCACTTGAGGGAGCCTGAATGCGCTTATTATTGTTCTAATTGTAGCCTACTTATAACATTGAATCTACTATGAAAGGCTATCAGACATTCTGTTAGTTTATCCCAAAATGTATTTGTTTGTTCTCATTTCTAAAGTATTTAACGTGTGTATATGTTTTCAATAACATATGCATCAAACAAAGTTGTGATTTATCAAACGTACACCTCTTAGAAACGGCCGGTTTACCTATTAATATAATATACAGTATAAGGCAATAATAATGTTCAGGGATTGTTTATTTACGCACAATTCTCACGATTCATAAATCTTGTGAAATGGGTCGTGATGGTTTGTCATTTTCTTAAAAAGTAGGTCCCCGTATAAAATTAAACCTGATATTGGTCGGACAAAACAACCCATATGAGTACAGGGCAACTAGGAAATTGTGATTGGACTATTTTCTGACATTTTAAAGAATGACAATAATAATAATGGATCAATCGATAATGTAAACAATAGTTAGTTGAAAATTGGTGAATTATTGGAGAATCTTTTAAAAAATGTGTCCAGAATATGTCCCAGCACTCTGTTTGTTGTTGTCAGCGTTTCCACATTCACACTCGGACCCATCTTATGGTGTCACATTGTGTTTCCACTGATCTCACGTAGATTCTGCCCCCACCCTCACAAAAACCTCCTCTTTCAATTGTCCCAAGTGGAAAAACAGCACCTGAATGCGCGTGGATAAAATGTCTCTTTTGCAGCTGCTTTGACAAGTCTTCAGCTGATACTTCCCTTCGTGCGGTGCCGTGTCCGTTAGTTTGTCCGTGTATTGGTGACATGACTGGGCCATCCTATCCTTCCCTTTAATTATTAACCGCACGCTCCGATCAGAGTTTATTGCTTATTGCCTGGCAGCCCTTGGCCACTGGCAGGGATGCTCCTGATGGTGTCAAACGAGCGGTTGGTGATCTTCCGATAGTGTCTCATCCACAACGCGGAGCGATCGCCCCGGGTTGTCTGGCTCCAGGAGTCGGTGCCTTCGGAGTTTCACCGTACAGCGAGGTCTTACGCGAGTGCACCGGGAGGATTGGTCGAGGTCGAGGTTAGAAGGTTTTTAGGTCGGTTTGTAGATAATTTTCACTGCTTGTTTTCTATGCTGCTTTTGCTTCTTTTCTTCTTTATTCCATCATTTTTCTTTGAGCATTTGTTCGTGAGTAAGCAAGTGACTGGTCAGGATGAGTAATTAGTTTTGTAAAGTGAAGGGAACATTTTCTAAGTTCTGTTATTAAGGGAACTCTGTTTTGGCAATGTTTGACCTATTTACTGATCAGCCGTGGCCTCTTACGGTTAGGCATGACTAATACTCTCACTTTATGTTGCCATTGTTGATGTTTTGCAAATTCCTTTTTTGATTCATGCACTCTTTCTAAATGTGGCTTTATGATCCAGTAGCTGTTACAATGTGCCTTTGTGAAGTAGACATATATTGTCATTTGTCTTCTTTAGCTGTGCAAAAAAACAAGCTGTTATAGTTGGCAAAAACATGGTGTCCGTCAGTCTCGAGCATTTACCTCCATGCAGGAAACCTGAGAGTATTTTAACCTGCGAGTGGACGTGTATTTACACTACAGTGTTCTGTGTATAATGTACACCGGCTGTATATATTCCACATTGCAATTTATCACCGGGAATGTGAATATTTCATGGCGGAGCAGGTTTCTTTTTCTTTTTTTGGCGACATCTTTTTAAATACACACGGTGTTCTGAAATGCCGGGGATTCGAACCCACAAGGGGATCGCCGGTGCTGCGTGTCCCGACAGCGAGGCACCGCTGCCGAGCGCTGTTTCTTAACTCTTGGCTCCTGCTCCGTAGGGATGGGGCTCTCTGCGGTCTTTGATAGCGGCAGAGGGGATCCAGGGCCAAAACAGGGCTCGGCTATCTATATCTGCGTGGCAATTGTGATGGGGTGCTGATGAAAACCAAATGCTCTCTGGCCACTGGATCTAATTAAACACACACTCACACTCTCTCACACACACACACACACACACACACACACACTCACTCACTCACAGGCGGACCGGTTCATCGTAGCTTTTAGGACATTGAACTGTTACAAGAAGGGTCACAAAGGAATCAGCCCCCCCCCTCCCTGTTTATCTATTTACATATTGCACAACTTCGGGGAAGTCAGTTCCTCCGCCCGAGCGGTGTCACAGCATATTTCGTGCTGTTGGAAATCAAAGTGCCGCGTGAGAGGAAATGGCACGGACCACCTCACGGACACAAAGCACAACAGCATGCAGCAGCTTGTCAGGGCTGCCTTTGATGTTTCGGTTACTAATAATGTCCTCGGAGAGCTGAATTTGATATGCATTCTGCATGGAGCGCATTAGGACAACGCAGGTTCATTAAAGGGGATCTAAATGTTTCCATACATCCGACATCCTCCCGAGAGTGGTGTGAAACGCTGCCAATTATCAGAGGATGCTTACTTGTTTTGCTCTCCGTGTATTTCGTGGCGCGCGTCCTCAGGCTTTAAATGTTCGGATGTGTTCTTTTCAATCTAGTATGTTTTAAGTATTATATTCTTTAGCATTAAAGTATTGTTTCGCCGGCATTATATGTATTTTTGTCCAGCTGTCCATATTGTCATATCGGACAATGGGAGGATCCATCAATACAAACCGTCTCTCCTCCTTCATGAAAGTTTATTTTTCACCATGGAATGGAAAATTCACTTCAAAAAAGCTCATGTACGGGTCACACTCAGACGTCACAATAGTGATTCCACGGTTAGATTTGTCACAAACTATTTTAAGTGGGTGTCTGACCAGGGAGGACGTTACGGTGCAGGATGTGATCTGATGTGACAGAAGTCTCTCGTTGGATACCAGGATGGGATTTTGTTGACCGTGCGAAAGACTTTTGAGCATTCGAGCACAATTTTACCAAATAAGTTACGCTTTTCATAAAATTTGGTCTTCCGAAGTCTTGAAAAGTATTTAGTGTGACTCTGTGATACTTGCAGACAGCCTGCCCAGATAAGCCCATCGAGGTGACCTTTCCGGTGCAGAAGGAGGAGGAGGTGAAGGTGAAGCCGGCTGTGTTGTCGCAGTGCAGCAGGGAGGACTACTACGGCTGCCTGAGTGACACATGCAGGGACAGTTACAGCAGTGACACACCCATGGATAGTTTAAAGGTAAGTTTATATAGTTTCTATTCACCATTTATATAACTTCTACCCAAAGCATCTGGTTCATCACAGTCTCTTTTTTTAAATTTTTTTTGTCCAAACTAGCAGCCTGAGAGCGAGGAGGCCCCGCAGGCGAGATACCCTCAGCCCCCTCCTGCACCTCCTTTACCCTCCGCTTTGTCCACACCGGAGAAAACCGCTGTCAGCAGAATAGGGCAGGTTCAATTCACGACATCATGTGAGAAAAAAACATTTCTGTTACTGTGAGTCACTGTTCAGTGGAGGAAAAAAAATAGTCTGTGTTCTTTAAAGACTTATGAAGTGTATTTCAGTTCTTAAAGGTTTCAATCAGCCCAAGGCCGCTGGGAGTGAGATAATCGCCGCTCCCAATAAGACGATGCTGCCTGGTGCAAACCTCCTAGCTGGAAGAAAACTCATCGGCGACATGAACTCCATTAAATCCTTGAAACAATCAGGGATGTCAGGAGTCTTCACCGGACAAGCGGTACGCTTTCTCACTTTGTACATCCTTTCTTTTTGCAAGCGCTCCCTAACCATAGCTAATAAGAAACCGCTGTGTCTGCGCAGAACAAGATGGTGGTCCTGCCCACTGAGGAGGCCAACCTGTCGGACATCGACTACCTGGTGCCCACCCATGACGAGCGAGGCCGTCCCATCGCCGAGTGGAAGAGGCAAGTCATGGTGAGACAGCTGCAGGCCCGGCTGCTGGATGAGGAGGACCAGAGGAGGAAGGTAGCGTCTCTCTGGAAGATTAAACAGGGTTACATTATTAATGCACTTAGATTAATCCTGATGTAGCACAGGTTCGGGAGCGGTCAGGATCACAGCCTTAGCTTACAAAATCAGAGAAAGTATTTCATTTAAAACAATTTATCAAGAAGTGGATCAACAGGAAAGTTATGGGGAACTTTTTAAAAATAATTTATTGATCGTTTGCAGCCCAAAAGAAGTCAGTTATGTGTTGTGCAGCCCCTTCTAAACAAACACTCCAGACCACAACTTCTAAATCAGCATTAACTTAACCTTTAAAAAAAAAAAAACTTTGGAAATTCCATCATCATTTACTTTTAATTGCATATAACAAATCACTGAACACATTGCTCGCCAAGTCATATTTCTGAGGTTTGGATCGCAGTTTAACTGTATCATTACTCTTTTCCTCTCACGCCTAAGCCATATGAAATATATAATATTAAAAAAAAGGTTAAAATGTGACATCCTGCATGTTTATCTGCAAGCTGTTTGCTTCTCTTCTGACAGGAAAATGGGAACAGATATGCCAAAGTCAGCTGGAGGTTCTCCCAAGCCCACAACGCCATCCTGGGGCCCTCTGGTGAGCTGCTGACGGAGGATGACCTCATCTATGTGGAGCAGCAGATCGCCAACGTCTCCATGCAAAGGAACTGTGAAGGCTACGAGCTGGAGCTCGCCCGTCTGGCCGAGGAGCTCAGGCACATCCTGCCAGCCCCCATAGTGAACATCACCGCCAACACGCAGTTCAGAAACCTCTCGAGTCAAGTTCCCCTTCCTGTGTGGTGCGGACGCATCTCGGGCATCGTGAAGAGCATGTCTCTGCTCATGACCAACCTGACGGACCAGCCCCACTGCAAGATGCCCAACACCGACCTGATCACCGTGTTCTCTCAGACGCCGGACCGGCAGAACTCCACCAGGGGACGCAGGGAGAGGATAGAGGATGAGATCCACCACTTTGGGGTGTCCGTGCGGACGCTGAAGTCCAATTTTGAGACGCAGAACTCACCTTTGTCAGATGAGCCGCAGGAGGTGGGTAGTGCTCTCGCGCAGCTCGAGGCCACGGAGTCAGACGAAGAGCCCAAAGTGTTGACTCTGGCCCCGGAAACTGACCAGAACAACGACTCCGGCATTGACTACGATGAAAACGTCGCGGACGTTCGAGAGACCACCAGCCTCAGGAAGGAGCGTATAGTCGTGCTGTTCTTGGGCCACTGGAAGAAATCGGCCTACACCGTGTCGCTGAAGAGCAAGGATGCAGCAGAGAGGAAGATGAGCAGCGGAAGCCCGGGGACGGGCGACAAGTGCGGGTTGGGTCGCAGGAGTAGCGCAGAGAGCGCCCAGTCGAAGATGATGAACAGCTCTCTGGGACACTTCTTCAAGCAGAGGAGTGCTGTCAACAAGATGCTGGGAAACTGGAGGAGCATGATCTCCAGCGTCCCGTCCAGACAGATACGCAGGTAGGGCACTGCATGACCTTTTTATGTAAATCATCCGTTCTACGACAGAATGTCTTCACCAGGCAGCAACCTCCAGCTCTGCCGAGTGAATCCAATGTGTGAGTCTTAAAACTTGCAATCTCTTTGCTGGCCAGCAGGAGGCGACTCCTCTGGTTGTATAGAAGTCTATGAGAAAATGACTCTACTTCTCTCTTGATTTATTACCTCAGTAAACATTGTAAACATGAGTTTATGGTCTCAATCTCTAGTTTCAAGTCTTCTTCAAACAGCATGATGTTCAGTTAGTAGACTATGGTCCATTTAGAGTCAAATAGACCATAAAGCAGGGTATGCTTTAGGGCGGGGCTTACTGTGATTGACAGGTCGCTGCCGCTACCACAGACTTATATGCTGTCACTCCTCCGCATTCCAAATATGGTAACTTGCGTTCATTGGCTGCAAAAAAAACTCAGTGACTGATTAGAGGGTGTCAACATTCTTCTTTTTTTTTTTATAAATTTGAAACAGATCACTCCCCAGAACAGTCTATCCCGTTGCTGCATCGGCCTTGTAAGGTTTAGAGCTGATTAAAAGAGTAGGTGATGGCTTGTTGAGCCATTTTCAACCCGTGAAATGTCTATTTTTATAAATTGAAAAAAACACGGGTTAATTGTGCAGTACCTCTTTGATAGAAAGGAAAAACATATTGAAGCACAACTATTCAATATTGTATATATCAATGTGTAATGTAAAAGGAGCCACTCAGTGACAAACCCACTGAGAACTTTGGAGCTCTTAGCCTCTTTTACATTAGCTTATTGTTTTGGTTTAAGGACCAGCCAATTTACTGTTTTTATTTAGTCTCACAGCTCTCATCAACCTATTTTTTAAAGGGCCAGTGTGATGTTGGAGGATCTATTTGCAGAAATGTAATATAATATTATATATAAACATATAAAACTATGTTTTCGTTGGTTTATAATCACCTGAAACTTGTTTAGCTTAGAATGAGCCCTTCATATCTACATAGGGAGCTGGTCCTCGTCACAGAGTCCGCCGTGTTACACAACGGACAAACCAAACACTGGCTCGAGAGAGAGAGACTTTTGAGTTTTTATGTTACCTGAAGGCCACCGTAGTTCTCCAACACGCTTGTGAAAGTGTGGCAGTCTTAGAAAAGGAGAGGTGAGCAGTGGGGTATTCAGTTGGTGGCAATCTGGAACCTCATCTCCAGTCACCAACTCCTACACACTAGACCTTTGACATACAAGTTCTGTATAATGCATACAGACAGCAGACAAAGTTATCTAAGAAAGAAAGTTGTAGCTAGCAAACATTAAGCTATCTAGTGAGGTGACGCAAAAACAGAAAAGCAGTTCAAGTGAATGCCAATGTTGCATCATGTCTGCTGAATGTGTTACTCAGCAATTGTTTGCTAAGATGTTGTTTGCTACTTTTACAAGCTAATAAGTCAGCTTTCTAGCTTGTTGAGTTACTGTGCCCCCTAGTGGCCAAAAAGTAAATTAATGCAGCTTTAAAATCCTAAACTTTTTGTTCAGTTTGATTAAAGATTTGCTTGAATGTCCAGGACACTTAACTTCAAAAGTTTCAACTGAACAGCATAAAGGTTTGGTTTGGAATGCTGTCTGTAGTGCCATCATTCAATCCATTTGTAGAAAGTGACGGGAAAAAAAATCGCGTCATCGTGGAGGTCACTCTGCAGAAGCTTCTAATCTTCAGCCTCAGCCTACTGTAATGTTGATATGATCTTGAGTAACCATTCAGTGTCCCCCACAGGCTCCACAGGCAGAAAGCCCTCTACTCCCCAGAGCAGTTCCTACCTCGACTGGACGGCGTGCCGGTGGAGTATGACAACCTGACCCTGGATCTCTTCATGCTGGGCTACTTCCACATCCTGGAGTTGGAGCTTCCCGTGGACGAACGCAAGATAAGACACCTGCTGTGTTTCGAGGTGTTCGACCACGTGGGGAGCTTCCCCTGGGAGCTGGTCAGGGACTTCCACAAGGCTGTCATACAGGACATCGAGGCCGGGAACCGCGAGTGGAAGGACGGCTTCGAGGACATTAAAGTGAAGTTCTTTGGCAACACTGTGAGTCAGACTGAGAGCGCTGTCGAGGTGGTGAAACACACCCTCCCAGAGGTGAGACAGGTCCCTAAGGTCATTGTGCAGACGCCTACGCCTGATGAGGGGATGCTCCACGGTGGAACTGACATTTCCAGTTTCAGTAATGAAGAAATTTGCAAATACATCGACCGCAGTTTTGCTTTTTGGAAAGAGAAAGAGGCAGAGATTTTTGATTTTGAGTAGTTGCTTGAGTCATCTTTTTAATATTTTTTTAGTATTGTTTGTAGTTATATTACATTAGGGCTGGGTATCAAATCTAAACACTGTTTGAATTATGAATTTATTTGTCGTAATTGTCAACCTTCAAGTACCGAAAGCTAGCGCAGAATGCTTAGCCACATTCTTAGCCATGTTTCCTTATTTAAACAGATATTGCCTGATGTCAATTCTAATTTTCTTAATTTTTTACTGTATTTTATTGTGTTAAACCATTCAATTTTAATGCATTTCATAGGTTTGGACTTTGTTATTTTTTATGTTTATGAATAGTATTAAAAAGATACTTAATAGATATTTTGGTACTGCTATTGAAACTCGGTATAAATAAATTTGCAACAAATTTCAACCTATACCCAGCTCTATTACAACAGCCAGAGTGCCGAGTACTTGTGTGAGTTCCTGAGAGTAAACATCTTCCCAACACAAACTACAGCTATTGATTTGTCAGGAAGAGGCCCAGTTCTGGAGTTCTGGAGACCCTGATTATTCATTATAAAGGAACTAAAAGAAAAACTGATTTCACTGACACATCTTCTTTTCGTTACCTCCTTAAGGCACTTTTAATCAAACCACACATATCTTAACACCTATATAAACATACAGCACTTTGTTCAGCATAGTTGTATTTTTAATTAACTGTTGTAACATACAAACAAAACGGTCAGTGCTATGTCATTTATCTCCTTTGCCAGCCTCCATGCCTGTTGAGAATAATGTGTGCCTGTAACAGCAGCTGTGGGTCCCATGCTTGTTTGGAATCTGACTTCAGCACAGCGTTGCTGTCTGTCCTAAAAATAACTGAAAGCCAGGCAGCGCGTCCCAGTGACATGGCAAAAGCTTTTCGCCATGCTACTCGCTCCATGTTGATCTCACCAGCCGCTCAGCCACAAACAGCTTTTTCACTGGACACAAGGATGTGCCTTCATTTCCGCTTCTCTGCTTCTGCGGTGAGTTTGTTGTTGGTTTAATCGTTTCATTTGTACAGAGTTTGTCAAGAAATGTAATGTATTGTTGGTGTTGGAGAGGATTAGTGTCATGCTATTATGCTAAATCTTACTAATAGTGAGCCAAAAGTACACAGTGATGCCAAATTTAAAGAAGTTTTACATTTTGCTCAAATCAGAAAGGTCACAGAAGAGAAACTGTTTTCTAACTAAGTTCCAAACTTGAAGCTCTCTCACTGAGAATGTCTTTTTATTTGCACCGTTTGTACAAAACAACAACAAACAAACATTTTATTATTCTTTTTTCTGCATATTCATGTTTTTTCCTACACTTCCAGGTAAGCTCTAAACTCGACCTGACCATCCCCCGCTGAGAGACTGTTTGACATTTTGAAGTTGATCATGGTGCGCAACGTGGACGACCTCGACTTCTGCCTGCCCTCCCATCCTCAGAGCATTCTGGAGGGCTTGCGCTCCCTCTGCTCTCACCCCAAACTGGTGGACGTGACGCTAAGCGCGGGCGGCCGCGACTTCCCCTGTCATCGCGGCGTGCTGGCCCTCTGCAGCGCGTACTTCCACAGCATGTTCTCAGGGGACTTTGTGGAGAGCATCGGGGCGCGCGTGGAGCTCAGCGATGTTGATCCTGACATTCTCAGCTGCCTGCTGGACTTCGCGTACACGGGCAAGCTGACCATCAACCAGAGCAACGTGGAGGGGCTGATCTGCACGTCCAGCCAGCTGCAGTTCCAGACAGTGAGGACCGTGTGCAGCCGATACCTCCAGCACCAGATCGATGCCACCAACTGCCTGGGGATCCTGGAGTTCGGGGCCATCCATGGCTGCCCTGAGGTGATGGCCAAAGCGGGGGCCTTCCTCTTAGAGAACTTTGAGGCTGTGCAGCAAGGTGAGGAGTTTCTGCTGTTGGGAAAGGAGAGGTTGGTTGCATGCCTGTCTGACGAAGGGCTACAAATCCGGACAGAGTGCACCCGCGTGGAGGCCATCCTGAAATGGGTCGGGCACCACAGTGAGTCTCGGCTCGGCCACCTCCCTGAGCTCCTCACCTTGTCCCGTCTCCCTCTGCTCAGCCTGGACTACCTGGCTGACACCCTGCTGAAGGACAGTCTGGTGCAGGCCTCTCCCAGCTGCAGAGAGGCGGTGGAAAAACTTCACAGAGAGGTTAGTGACTTCACACCTTCTTTTCTCTCTTATCTTCATTTGCACAATCTTGAGTGGATTTCCAACAACAATCACGCCTTTTGCTTTTCTAGAAGATGGATTTTGCCCCGGAAAACACGGACAGACTCGACTCCATGAGTCCGCAACCAAACCTGCAAGAGGTGCTGTTGGTAATGGGAGGTCGCTCACTGGACGACTCGGACGATGAAGATGAAGAGGACAGAGACCCAAGACTGCTGCCCAGGAACTGTGCCTTCTACAACACAAACACAAGTACTAACATTTTTATTTTTTGCATGCATCAAAATGTCAACTGTTTAAGTTCAGAATCAGTTTCACAACAGAAACTTGTTGTGAAACATCTGTCAGAGTCCTTGAAACAGTTTGGCAGTAGGTCGTTATATGCAGTGCTGACAGGAAAACAGCTCTGCAGGAATGCGGTCTGGAGGTGACAAAATTGGATCATCTTCTCAGCTCCTCGAATGAGCGTTTTATCGTGCAGAGCTGGAAGGAGACATCCACTTCAGTGTTTTTCAAACTGGATGTTTACAAAAAGAGGCAACAATGCTGTGAGGGCTGTGCCAGAAAGGAAACATTTTTTTTCCGGCTTCTTCCTTTCTTGACCTAGCTTTGACTTACTTTGAGGACATTTCTCCAAATTTCATTTGCGTGCTATTTTTGTCATAACATTTATCTAATTTCCCTCACTGTCAGAATGACGCTCGAACATGAACTCCCGTTTCTTTCTTTTTCTCTGCAGAACAGTGGCATGAGCTCCCTAATTTCCCCAACCCCAACAAGTGGGGCTACGCTCTGGTCTCCCTGAACAATGACGTGTACGTCACAGGTGAGTGAGGGGCAGAAGGCAAATAAATAATGAACGGTTTTGAGCAGAACTCGCTTCTCTTGCGAGGAATGTAAAACAAATGTCAGACTTTTGACAGAGTTCTCTTGTCTGTCTGACCAGGGGGCTCGCGAGGCTCGAACACCAACACCTGGTCCACCACAGAGACCTGGAAGTACATCACAAGAGAGGGGAGGTGGGTTACTGTGGCCCCCATGCTCTGGCCTCGCACTAACCACACGTCGGCAACGCTCAACGGCGAGATTTACGTCATTGGAGGTAAGAAAATAAATACGGTCGTTCGTGCGGTGCCTGAGAATTTTTCTTGCAAATCCCTCTTTGTGTCGCTGTATTTGCTGACATCTATGCGAGCAGGATTCACCCTCATCCCTCATCCTACTCAACATTTTCCTCCTTCAGGTACAACGTCGAATCGCGTTGAAGTTGAGCACTACGACCCTTACAACGACACCTGGACCTTGACGTGCCCCGCCTTGAAATATGTGACTAACTTCACCGCCACGGCCTGTCATGGGAAGCTCTATGTGATTGGCTCGTGCGCTGTGAAGTACAATGCTTTGGCCATGCAGTGTTACAACCCTGTTATAGGTAAGGAGGAGCGCAGCAAACCACCGACGGGGGGGAATCTTTATTGGCAAGAGATTTGCAGCATTAAATAACATTTTCATTTTTTGGGGGGCAAAACACATTGGCAATATGTCATTCATTTATGCAGTCCAGTTGGTGTAGCTCAATTTCTAATAGCTTCTAATAGATTGTTTACTTGCTGTTTATAGTATTTCAACCAAATATTTATTGCTTCATTGTACAATTCCTTAAATTAATCTGCATAGATAAAGCCCCATACAACTACATATTTTAGTATTTGTTTCAACATTAGGCTCTCTTTCCTCATGTGTTGTTGACTGTTTATCATTATTAATCAACCCTTGACAAAACAGCAGTTTTGTTTTTCCCACAGATTTGCAGTTAAAGGATTTAATAGTGTCAACTTATTGTCATTTAGTGTTGACTCATTAGAAGGTAATCTGTTTAACAAGTTTACAGAACCAAAACCTAATTGTTTGTCTTCTTTATTCCTCTAAATGATGTGTTTACATGTTTATTTCTTTTTTTACAGATAGCTGGATCAGCATATGTTCGCCCTTCATCCCTAAGTATCTGTCCTCTCCTCGTTCTGTCTGTGTGGATGGCACTATATATCTGGTTGCTGACAACACTAAGAAAGTCTTCTCTTATGATCCAGAGGCGAACATGTGGCAGAAGGTGGGCTTAGATATCACTGCTGGCTTTTTGTCATAATACAGTAATACAATCCCTTGTATCAATGCTTATTTAGCAGGACAAAGACAAAAATCGTTTTTTTTTAATTCTCTTTTTATTTTTGCCCTAAGCTGTATGTTGACTCTCCCTCTCTCTTCAGGTTCAGCTTCTCCACATGCTCCATGAGAATGGCGGCCTGGTAACACTGGATGGGAAGCTGTTTGTCACCGGAGGCCATTGGAAAGGCATGGAGGGGGACTACGGGGTGGAAGTGGAGGTTTACAACCGAGCGGCCGACACCTGGGAGGTGGAGTCCTTCCTGCCCAGACTTTGGTTCTACAGTGGAGTCTGCACCATCTTCCTAGATCCATCCCAGTGGCCCGAGCTTTCCCCCATAGATTCACCGTAAGGGCCTCCTGTCCTGGTGGGACTAAACTCAGGCTCCAGGAGTACACAGAGACATGTTCCTATCACAACTATGTTACAATGTAAATGGCAGGTTTATCCCAGGATGCCATTGTGACCTAGAATAGTGTGTTACATGATCCTCAGGTCTTCTTGGTTGTTATTAGAGCCTTGCTTGGCTGCTCAGTTGGTGGTTATTTATACTTTGTGTCTTGTGTTTTTGTTTGTTCCTTTTTGTGTGTTATTGAATGGTGCTTGTGAATCATTAAATATTTGCAGAGTATTATTTTTTATTATTGGTTGTATATCACGGGTTTGAACCTGGAAATTTAATTTTAATTTTTTTATTTTTTTTTATTTATTATACTATATTGATCCCTTTAAGGGGGGAATTTGTTGAAATGCTCGAAACGTGAATAAAATTTACTCCTGAAAGCCGGTCAACCAGCTGTAAATCCTCTTTGGGAAGATACTGTTCACTTTGCCTCTAAAGAGACTAGAAACGTGATGATCATTAACCCATCGGAATCCGAGAGCCTGTCCTGCCATGGAAACACCGACCCAGCATTCTATTTCTATGGCAACGGCCCGGAAGCGAGCGGTCACCCTGGCAACCTTGGACTGGTATTAGAATGGCGCTACTTGCCTTCAGTCGCTCCTAAAGTTTCTTCTGTCAGTGATTTATTTTCAACTCTAGTCTTTTCTTTATGCAGGTACCAGTTCAGTCCTTAATGACATGCTAGGTCTGTGCTTTGTAGGAGTCCACTGTTGACTCCTCTCTCTCTCTCTCTAGCCTAAATTGTAGCAACGTCACTGCAAGGTTTCTGTGTCCTCGAATGAAACCATTAAAAGTTTAACGTCGCTTGCTAACATTTTAGTGCTAAAGCTGCGTCACTTTTGCCATGAGTTGTCAACGGGAGCAAGGTGCCCACTCTCCTCGACTGGAGGCTGTGATTCAGGTCGGTAACGGCTGCTGTTGTCCACTGTTAGTTGACGTCTTCCTTGTTTTGACCTTATTATATACAGTCTGCGGTTTTTACAGACTTTTTCAACGGAAGACACGTCAATTTAAGAAAAGCAAAGGTGTAACGCGAGCTAATTAACAAGCTAAATAATGCTATTAAATATGGCTGAATTCAATTTATGCTAGCTACTTCCGTTTCAGTGTGTAGATATCGTGTATGCTGGTTCACTGTCACACTTTCATTGTTTACTGGGGCACTTATAGAACGGAGACACTTTTGTATTATTTTATGTTGCAATGCCTAACGTTACTGTGAAGTCAAAATGTCTGCTGTGTAATAGGCCTATTAAAAACGGTGTAATAACTCAGAGCTTTTACTTTGAAAAGTGACAATAAATTAAGTGCCGAAATTGTCCAAAAAAAGTCAGTTTGGCATTTAAAAAGTTACTTGAGTAAGAGTGCACACATTAGCAACTAAAGTACCTAAAGTATTCATGCAAGATGACCATCTCAGAATAATATGTTTTATAATTGTATTGTAAACATTGATGAAGTAGTGTAAGCCTCACTTTAATGCTGCAGCCGGTAAAGATGGAACTCATTTGAACTAGTTTATATGCAGATGAGTCGTTTAATCCACAATATATCATACTGTTTTTGTTGAATATATTTTGTATTAAGAATATGAATTTGCAAAGTAACCTTTAGAATAATTGTAGTGGTGTAGAAGAATAAAGTAGCAGAAAATAGGCAAGTAAAGTACAAGAAGCTATCTCAAATTTAGCTTAAGTGCAGCTTCAGAGAAATGCTCTCTGATAAACTTGTAAACACTTTACTATACTACTACAGTGGTAGTGATGGCGCTACAGTGTTCAGTAAAAACATTACCTTAATTGATTTTCAGTACATTTTGTTTCCCAGTGGTGGAAAGTAACTATAAGTACATTTACTAGCACTAGTGCTACTGTAGTACTGTGATTAAGTACAATTTGTTGGTGCTACCTACTGCTATTTTACACTTATACATGAGTACTTTTCAGGTATAAATGTTGTGCTTTTTCCACTACATTTATATTTGTTATAGTTACTTTACCAATCAATAATCTTCATAAAACATTTTATACAATATTATGCATTATGATGAAGATGCCCTAAACAATATAAAGTAGTTAAAATGATCTACAGCTCAACCAACTACATGTTCCTTCCATGGTAATTAATTAGAATTTATTATAATGATATTCCAGTAATTACATTTGAGTAAGTAAATGTTTTTGCTTATTCTTTTTTTTATCTTTAGTTAAGTAAAATGGAAATGTGCTATTCCTCCACGGTTTCCCCATCGTCTTGTCTGGAGTTTTCTCTGCTCAGTTAGGTGATGTGTTGAGGTTCCTGCTGTGATTGTAGAAGTTGGAGGAGTCCCTGCTTCACTCTGACGGCAGCTCAGGAGAGAGGACTCTGTCACTTCGAGGTGATGGACACGAGTCCGGTGTCAGTCCCACGCTTGTCTCCACCCGTGTCCGCCAGATCATCACTCGCAACTTGGCAGAGCAGCCAGCTGGTAGGGAAGACTAAACAGAGCTTCAATTCAAATTGAACACACGCAGCACAAACAATACATCTACCTGGCTAGATATCAGTGATCATTAGGCCCTATGAGGTAGGATTGATACCAAATGCATGATCTGCTTCCTTACCCCAGATGGGAGTTCTGAGGTCAGTGAGCTGGAGGGGAGCAGGGGCCCGAGGGAGCAGCTTTCTCCGAGCCAGATGGATCGTGACCAGCCGCCAGTCAAACAGGCCGGTCTCACAGACAGGGTAGGAGTGACACAGGGCACCGACATAGGTCAAGCTGTGGAGCATTATTTACATTTTTAGCATTCGATGTACCCGTGCTATTCTAGCAGAATGTTTGTTCTGTCACGGAAAGAGAAAAAAAACTAAGATGTCATAAAAAAATCATAAATACAGACCAAATTGGATGCACAGGTGATGCCATCCAGGTAACAGTTCATCTGATACATATTATCATCTACTTATTTGTGATTTGAACAGCAATAGACCGACATGTAGTCTTCTCATGAGCATTACAATTATGTCAATGTCAGCGTGTGTAACCACGGTGATGACACCCACTTCATCAAATCCTATCAGCCCAAACACCCATTTCCCAAACTAGCTGTGTCTCCTAGCTGAGGCTGCGTCAGCAGACATTGTTCTCTAATGCGACTCTTACGGGACCTGAAGTAAGTAATACTGCAGATGGTTCATTTGTGCAGTTTTGTTTGGAGATGAGATCAAGAACGTCAACCACACGAGAGCATTGAGTGCAACGAGCGACATGCCTTTTGAAATGGAATATGGTTACAGTAAACATCAGTGTACCAGCGCACTCTCCAGCAGGGAAAGCCTTTCGGGGCTGAACAAACAAACAGTGGGTGAGGTTGAAACAGCTTTGCATGGACTGTAGTGAAAACTGAAGGGGGGGAACGTTCAGAATACACAGCTACAGACTCACCATGGAATTAATGTAACTTGGCACGAACATATGCTTTATGTCATGCATTTTCTTTAATTAGCTGCTGTAGAATTACAGTTTACATATTACAGTAAGTACTGTATAAGCGTCCATTGTGTGTGTGTGTGTGTGTGTGTGTGTGTGTGTGTGTGTGTGTGTGTGAGAGAGAGTGTGGAAGCATGTGTGTTTGTAAGTGTAAATAAGAGAGGGGAGGGTGGTTCATGAAGGGTTTCCTTGTGGTCTGTTCAGGTAGACTCAGACCCCCTGTGCTCGCGAGGACCGGCGTCTCCCTTCATAGCCCCCCATGGTAGCCCCTCCATGTCGCGGCTGCTGTTTTGGGGGGAAAATTGGGAAGGTCACTGGCCTCCTCCCCTGAGACTGTCGAAGAAAAAGCTCATTTTTCGTGGTGCACAAAGCAGCCATTCGTGATAACACTGCCCTCATTCTGCCGCTTAAATCGAATGAACTCCCACTGCTTGCCTCACTCTTGGAACTTATTTTAAAACCAAGGTTATAAATAAAACTTAATTAACTCGGCAGATCTATATAGCGTATTTATTTTGTTGATATTTTTAGATGTGTGAAAAGGCACTAAACAGAAAAAACACAAGCAAGCGATGTTGATATCTGAGTAGCAATTTGAAGAGTGGAGGAGGACTCGTTTCTTTTCTCTAAGATAGCAGAAAGTATAACTGTTAACACAGCCGAATGTTTTTTTCCGGTAGCTTCTCAGAAGTCAAGAGGTTCATCACGAGACTCCTGTTGTGACTCGTCTCTTCTTGCTATTTTTTTCCCCTGCAGAGCAGCATAATTGTTTGGCAGCTCTGCTGTGATGTGATGTTAATGCAGTGTGCTAATCAACGCCCCGCAGCCAAATATATGCTGCCTTTGCTGTGGCATCTGTGTGGAGGTAACATTTAGGTCTGCATAAACAGCTTCCTCCCCCAACATTCACTGCCAAAGGGATCGTATCACTTAATATCCCATCGTATATATCATACGGTATGATCCGCTTCATTTGTCGGCATGTTTTAACGGCCATATCATCGTGTCGTGTTCATTGGCTTTTAGTGGTGCCCTGCAATGATAAAATATATAATGCAGGTAAACTGTATAACCAGATGACATAGTAAGTAGTTAGTCTAGTCTATTTGAAGAGATTTGTCTGATGGAGACCATATCAGTGAACAGTTGGTTGCAGTAAACATGAATAAGGAAATATTAGAACATATAAAATAAATGAGAAAATGATTTTTATTAATATTGATATCAGCCATATACCCGAGCCCTGCCCTATTTACATCCTTTATGTCTTGAGTTAATAGCTTTTACTGTATATTTTGTTGAAAAGTAGCTTTCTGGAAGTGTTGCTGGTCCATGAGATCCTGGCAGAACCTTTTAAACTGCATTGGTCCCATTTGTTCCTACATATTCTATATGGAGTATTGTAATTACATTTTTCCCTGAACCATCCATCCGACCGCTTTCATCCGCTTATCTGGGACGAGGTGGCAGCAGGTAAAGCAAAGTATTCCAGACGTCAGTAACGTTTTCCTGCTCTTCCTGGTAAACCCCGAGGCGTTCCCAGGCCAGACAAGATATTTAATATCTCTAGCGCGTTCTGAGTCTACCCCCGGGGCTTCTTACCGGCTGGCCGTGCCTGGGAAAACTTCTGATTGGAGGTGCCAAGGAGGCCTCCTAATCAGATGCCCGAACCACCTCATCGATGCAAAGGAGCAGCGGCTCTACTCCGAGCTCCCTCCGGATGTCTGAGCTCCTCACCCTATCGTTAAGGCTGAGCCTGGCCACTCTATGGCGGAAACACTCTAAGTCAAAAGCTTTGCCTACCGTCTCAGCTCCCTCTTCACCACAACATTTTGGTGCAACGCCCGCATCACTGCTGACGCCGCACCAAACCGCTTGTCCACCAGATGCTCCAGAAAGCTCCATTTTACCCTCACTCGTGAACAAGGGCTGCTGTCACTTGAGCAGTTTTTGGTTGCATTTGTTGCTGAAAGGCACTCATCGTGGTGGGGACCCGGTATCAGCCTGCTCATACAGTAACAGCCATCCTACGGTCACCAGGTCAGTTCCAAGGGTCAAACAACCAGCCCTTCTAACTACTTCCACCTTGCTCTATACCTTTTGGGATCAGGTTGATGCAATGTGACCAGGTAGTTCTCATTAGTTTCCAGTCATTGTTCTAAGCTAAGCTAATGGGCTGCCGGTAGTAGCGTAATGGCAAGAGAGCAAAAAAAGCGCTACATATGATGCCCGACTACCAAAAGTTTCTTGCTGAAATCCATTTGATGCTCCCAGTGTCAGAATGTCAGCTGAAGCAGGCCCACCACCGAATGGAGGCCTGACAGTTGAGGAACGGAGATACAAAGTTATCCCAAATCCCCATTTCTCCCGGCTTTGACAGAAGACCATTGACGCAATACTGGTGAAGTCACACCTGGACTCTGAAAGCCGTCCTTTGTGTCTCTGTTTAATCACTCAGCGTGATCTCTGATGACCCCAGAAAATTGCACTTGAACCAGGACAAACCTTGACCCAGTCTGTGAGTCGGACGGCCTCGGGAGGATGGAGAACATCTTGGGGTGAATTATGAACCCTCTGTGTTGCTTTTGGAGCCCCGCCAGTGTGCATTTTCTCACACAGACCTTCTATACCATAATGCCTGAACACTTAGCAAGCGGTTGCACAATACTGCAGTGTGGCAGTCAGTTGGATGAAGATAAACTCTCGCTGAATGATTTCTGACACCAACTGCCATTTGCCAGTGCCCTCTGTAATCTTGAATCCCCTGGGTGTCTGTATAAGAACCCTGTCAAACAGAGTTGGAGCAGATAAAGTCTGTTTTTAGGGATTGTGTTACTGTCCCCTTTTACCCTGCACCCCCCCCCCCCCCCCTCTGTCCCAGTTTGTTTTTCTTGCTGGCACAAACCCACTCATTTAGGCTGCAGTTTGAATGGACTGCTGCCAAAAAGTCTGACTCTCCCAACTGTCATGAAATTGTAAAAATTAATTGCCTTCCCCGGAGGAAATATTCTTGAAAGCCCATCCCCCAGCGTTGAATCTTTGATGAAAGTATTCCATCAAACCGTCTCAACGTTTGACGTTAAGGCTACTCGTGTTACCTGACTTTAAAGTCAAGAATTAAGCGCACTTTTCAGTTCTTTTTCACGTGTCAAGAGTGCCTAATCAGGCTGACTTCGATATGTGTGTGTAGGTTTTGTTCAGCATTGTCCTTGCCGGGGGGGGGCATTGTGTTAAGTGCTGCAAGGCCAGCCGCATGCTTGTGAGTACACAGCGTGTATTATTAGTTTGGACGTATTAACACAGATCACTTGTATATCCCCCCCCGTATGCCATCACAGCAGCTGTCCCCACAACCATGAGGTTCACTCCATGGTAACATACTCACAGCAGCCCCCCTCCTTGCCTCCCTTCTCCCTGTTTGTTATCCCACATTGTGTAATTACCATCAGCGATGATACATAAACAGCTTTCACAATCAGCTGGGGCTCCTTCACAGAGTCAGCACTCCGGGGGTAATGTGAGGGGAAGGGGGAAGGGGCATGTTGTTGAAGTGGGATAGTAAGTTTTTTTGGGCAGCTTGGGGGCGATGGACATCCGCTCCAGCTGTGTTTAGGAATCTGACAGATAGTGCACTCCATTAATTCCCTTTATTAAGCCTCTGAGCCCAGGCCAAGCCAGGGAAAACGATTGCAGCTGTAACCCTTCACATGCTGGCTGGACTGTGCACTCAGGGCCGGATTTGGCTTCGCAAGATATGGCTGAGGATGTGGACTAGTTGCTGGACGAGCCTGGAGATGTGTCTTTGTGTAGATAAACAGGCATTGATGCACAATGCCAACACAGTAAGAGAGGAGGGAATTGAGTTCACAAATGCAAAGCAAAGGCCAAAACATTAAAAAAAAAACAGTTGAAGCAGTGGATAAACTGCTGAGTTATCGGATCTCCAAATGTTGTGACATTAGACATTGTGAGAGAATATTGTAATACTAACTTGGTAACCGAAATGGATTGGATTTTGATCTACCACATGAGCAAGGCAACAAGTTTTGGCCCAAACACCAAAGCCTCCACAAAGGCCTTGAAAATGATTCTCTTGTTGCTTGATGGCAGATGAATCAAAGCAAGATTATCCCTTGATGTTGTTTGAAATATTTATCAAAAGAGACAATGCAAGGAGTGGCACAAATCATAAATATCAAGAAATATAAAAAGCTAATTCAAAGCACATTTTAAGATGCTGAGAAGTCTTTTACTTTGGAAACATAAGCAGGGCTCGTGACACAGATACTTGGAAATGCAAATAAAAAAAGAAAAGGAGGCATAGCAACCATATGGAAGCATAAAATGTACCATGACAAAAGGTTGTTTTTGTGTAAACGGCATCTTGAGCATTACTGCATAATGTCAGTAGATGACCTCAAAGAGTCGGGCTTCACTGGGATTGGACTCAGCCCACTTTAGGGGTCCGCGGAGGCTGCTAGAGAGTGATTGTACTCCGAGGCAGATCGTAAATAGCAAGGGTGTTCAGTAAGCACACTTCTGGGCCCCCAGTAAGCCCCTGGGTTAGGGCAGATGGAGGCCTGGGATTACTTGCTTCTCGTTTTACAGTCACTGATGGATGTGTTGCGAAGAACGATGAGATCAGACAAACTATGGAGATAGGGGTGATGAGATTAAATGATGCAAACAGAGCAAGGGGGAGAAGATGGTGATGCAGGAGAGTTCAGTGAATGTGGGGGTCTTAACAACAATGTGTGGCGCCCTCTTGGGAGCTTCCTGCACGGAGCATGGCTAATCCAGAGCAGCCTATGGCCTAGTGCTTTACAGCTGACTGGGGAGAAACACATTTTTTAAAAAGCGTCCCTTCTGTAGTGTGTGGAGCAGAGGAGAAGAGATGGAAGGAGGTCCACACGCTGCAGCAATGCATGAAAACCCTCCACACCTTAAGAGACACCTGGTCACTGAGTGGACAGCAGCAGTGACACTGAGTATCATACGTAGTAATTTGATTAATCAGTGTTATTGCTATAGTTGAGCCAAAATACTTGAAAAGATGCATAATCACTAAAGTCTTGAAAGTTGGTGCCCTTGTTGGTGCATTGATACACCTCTCTGCGTGTAACCGCTGGCAATTGTTGCTCACCAAAACAGCGTGAAACAGGCGGCAGGACTGTGTACCGTGCTGCCCGGCTGCTCGTGAGTGCACGCATACGTCCTTCGTGCATGTGCGCAAAACAAACAAAACAGGTACTCACTCATAAAAGCTGAACGTAGCTACCAGTGGTTCGAAGGCCCTTAACACGTGTCTTGGGTGATCCGATCACAAGTGAACGTTAGACGGCGTCTCCACATGCGTCTCTTGGGTGACGACTTGATATCCGATCAAACCTCGTCGCTCTATATGTGAATGAACATTATTTCCATTTGCAAAGACCAAATGCGTTGTAGTTTGGTTTTTCGGCCGGAAATCAAAAGATGGAGAAGAAATCCAAACAGTACAGACTGGTTCTTTTCCTCTGCATGTCCCAGGCAAGATGTTTGACCCACTCGTGGTACAGATACAGAAGTATCAGCTTCCGTACCAGCAGATTTCAGAATAGCTTCTGTCCTCTGGCTGTGAGACTCCTCAATTCATCCTCCACCCTCCACATATGATCGTTTTTTTGTGTTTTCTTGTGTTTTGTTCTGTAGCAAAATGGGACTGCAATCAGCATTTCGTTGTGCAACCCTGTTTGTACAATGAAATAACCTTGTAACTTGTAATATATCTCGATGGGCTTTTCGACAGTCGTGGACAAAGTTAGCTGACACGATTTGAGAACCAACTGGAGGTGAGAAAAGGGAGGAACAAACGGGGGAGGCGCGGCTTTGATGGCGTATTTTACTGTTTCGTCCTTGTCTGGGACTCATCGGGACATTAAGCGTTTAAACTATACGAGAGATAAGCGCTCAAATGCGTCCCAGACCACCTCGGCAAGTAATTTGAGTGATCGGTGTAGCCCTGCGTTATCTGAATGCTGCATTGTTACCTAATCTCAGAGCTATTTTTAACACTCTTACTGGTAAAGTTTATGTTTTGGTATTTTTTTAACAGAGAGGTAACGGGGGGGGGGGGTTGATAAACTGGGGGCTCATTGTTACACCAGTGATCCCCAATGGGTTCATTTGGGCCATAACTGAGCCTTTTCTATTTATGAGTTTCTTCTTATGAGGGAGAATTTGATTTAGTTTTCGTGGTCTCCCTTTCCCTAAAGTTGTAGCAGCATGAGAGCCCTCTCTGCTGTATACGTTTCCAGCTGTAGATTGTGCTCATGTGCTGTGATAAACCATGTGTGCTCTGGCCGTGGTTTCAAGGTGTATTTATAAAGTGCATGCTTGTTAGTAAGTCAGTGTTATTGCTATAGTTGTGCCAAAATACTTGAAAAGATGCATAATCACTAAAGCTCCACACACAGCTGTTTCCAGGAGTCCCTTTAAACACAGCTGCTGCAGTTGTGTGTGTTTCAAACACTCCGCCCATGTTGTTCCTCCCTTCTCAGTCCCCAAAGGTGTCACCTCAACAACGGGCAGTAAAAGAAGCTTTTGTGCTCTCAGGGTCCTCGCAGAAAAACACCAAAAAGCACAGAGCCGAGCGCACGATGGCCGTCCGTGTAGTTTGACAGTATAAAAATTCTAAAAAGGGCATTTGATGTGTTAAATGTGTTAATAATGGTGGCAAAGTGGCTGGGCTCGGTGTTGAACAGTGAGACTATTGTCTTGGCTCTCTTGGAGCCTGCTGGAGAGATTAAGCACCCAGAGAAGAGATGAGGTACAGAAGTGCAGTGGGAGGGACTGGGTCGCAGGGTTGATTCCGAGGGCTTGGATGGTGGTTTTGGAGTGTGTTGCAGGGGAGGGGGCTCCCTCGCTCTCACTCTCGTCCTCCTCTTTTTTTAAATGAGAAATTCGGCAAGGGCAGCTGAAGGCACGCAGCGTGTTGCAGTGCTCTAGGGCCATGTGGTTTGTATTAGTGAGGACAGGGTGTCTGGCACCAGGATAGAGAGTGGGTGGTGCAGGGGGAGTTTAGGTTGTGTGAGGTTGAGAGGTTACAGGACATTTGGATTTCAGATATGAGATTTCACGATGAGAAAGACCAGTGCATTTCTATATACATATATATTAGTATAAGTATAAGTATAACGTACTGGGATATTCCATAGACTGATATTTCTATATTTGAAACCTAGCTACTGTTCAATCCTCACACTGAATTAATACTAATGCATGATAGCAATAACCAATCAAGAATGCTGTATTTTAAGATACAAAGCTCCCTACACTGACTTTATTATTTGACAAAGAGAGCCCACAGTGAACTGTTGAAAACTGCTCAATGACTCCTTTAAGCTCATCCATTAATCATTGGTACATCCAGATAATTACAGGAGGACGAGATAGACTGAGTTACTACACCCACATAGCATAATGCAACCCAACACATTTGGTGTGCAATAACTCCTTGTGAACGGTGCCATGGGCATAGAGCTCAGTATAATGCAGCCAATCCAATCCAACAGCTGTAAAAGTGAGCATATCACACATCCATGACACGCGGTCAGTAAAACAGTATACAATCAGCTCTGTAGCGATTTGTTGCATTCTGTCACTCGGTGCAGTGCGTGTAAACAATGTACTGTGACGTGCAACGTACTGTCACGTCGTCAAGCTTGCAAAAACTCATTTGTAACCACTCCATCCAGCTGGATCAGATGCTGATGCTGCAGTCAGCAGTGGACTCAGACCAGGACAGTGTATCACCAGGATCCCTGCAATTGCAGACCAAGGAGAGAGCTTACAGGCAAAAACTGCAGGCCTACCAGGAGGCCCAGCAGAGACAGGCCCAGCTTGTCCAGAAGCTTCAGACCAAGGTGACTACGTGAACAAATGGAACCTCGGAAATCTAGAAATTGTTAAGTAAAAAAAAAGCTGTTCCTTTGGCTCAACTTTGTTTTATACAAGGTTCTTCAGTACAAGAAGAGGTGTGGGGAGCTAGAGGAGCAAGTACTGGAGAAGACCTCAGAGTCTGAGAAGATGAGGTTGTTGGTAAGTCTAGACTGCTGCTTCACCTTCAAGGATCAGTATTAGTTAGACATTAATATTCCAATCCAAAGTCTAAAGGGCCTGCTAGGGTCCTCCAGAGGCCAGTCAGCATTATCACAATGTCAATATGTTAGTGTTTACAAAATATTCAAAAGGATGTTAGAGAGCAAATAGTTTTGTTCAACTAGTTATAATTTGGACCATTATGTCTCCATAAAAGTATATACATTTATGCAAAAGAACCATTCAACATATAGCTAAGACACAGAAAACAGGAAAACGCACAGAAAGTCTTCTATGCTCATTTGTATGAATCTAATTGTTTATGCAGGCAATAAAAAGCATTTAACAGCCAGTAAAGGAATCATGCATAACTAAAAGCAAAACATGGATTTGTACTTATATTTAAATGTATGAAATTCACCCAAATATTATTCTTGGCTGAGTGGTCTCCAATGGGATTTCCACTGTAATTATGTTGCTTTACAAATATTAGGTAACTGCTAATGTACCGTGTGTGTGTGTGTGTGTGTGTGTGTGTTCAGCTCCAGGCCCACCTGGACTCGGCCCAGCGTCAGCAGCGGACAGAGCAGGATCTCGACGTGGCTATCCAGAATAAGTCTGCTCAGCTGGAGAAGGAGCAAAAGAGGTGAGTGATGGGCACCGTGCGGTGCGGGTAGCCAGCTCATCCAGCCAATAGAAAAACCTCGCACAGCTTCTGTATTCATAAATTATGCATATTTGGGCGTTTTGGAAAAAGTGCACAAAGTTTGGAATCCAGAAATCCTCTACAGCAGCAGGGAGTAGCTAGTTGGATGCAGACTTTGAGCAGTAAATTCATGGACCAACCCGTTAGAATTTAGCCTTTTTATTTCTCTGTCTCATGTTGAGGAGCAGAAATCATGTGGCAATATTTCTGAGAAATGTGCGGACCGCAGATATTCCCAGCAGCTTTCCCCTGCCCCTGCTGCAGGGCGAAGGCCGAACCTTCCCTTGGCAGATAATCTCAGTATCCAATTTGTCAGAGAAAATTAGTGGGCCTATTTTGGCTCCCTCCTCCAAAGCATTTTAATGATGCTTCACATTAAGTGTGGGCCAACCTCTGCAGCTGAGGCCAGGTTTTAATGCCCTATGATTTATACAGTTATGGAACTTTATTTGAAATGCCCATGGCAGGGACCTGATCATTTTTACTGGCTAAAATATCACTCGCTGCAGCGTTACCAAGATCTATCCACTTAAGCTCTGTGCAACGTAGAGATTAAGTCTACAACCAACACTATGTGTTGCCTATTATTGGGATTACTGCAGTTCTCTTAAAACAGGATGTCATCCCATACATGCAAACACGGGTTTGGCTTCCTTTCAGACCGATAACCAAACATAGCAATGTGGCCAGCATTACTGTAACTGGGTGCGTGTTTAGTGTGAGGATGATGTAAACATTTTAGTAAATGACTCTACAAGTAGATTTGGTTGATATTAAATTTAAGTTGACACAGACGTTATAAAACTGTCTCACATGTTCACCCCGTAAGTTTGGTTGGCAAGGGTGGATCTGAAGGCCACAGATGTAATATGACTGTATGGCTGTATGAGCCTGGGTGCTGTGGAAGGGTTATAGGAGTGTGTCATGACAGATGTTTGTCAGGGGAGAAATACCAAATGGTCATATAACGCGTGTTATTTCCAGGTGTGCCAGCCTCAGCCAAGTCAACTGTATGCTGCGGGAACAGCTGGAGCAGACGGGCACTGTCAACCAGGGGCTAACAGAGAGCCTGTGGAAGGCCCGCGAAGACGCTGACTTGTGTGATTCCCGTCTGCGCAGAGAGCAAGAGGTGAGGAAAAAAAAACAACAGGGAAAGCTCAAGTGTATTCCTTTCTGCACAGAGATTGTGCAATTAAAGTCCTGTTGAGTTCACATGGGGTAGGAATTCCATTCATAGCCAGTTTTGCCAATTCATTCTCATTCGCTGTTCGTTTCATTGCTGTGATTTTTGAGTTGTTGTTTCCTGTGAAAACATTCCAACTGCTGAGGGGGAGGAACATTTTGTGCAAACAATCTGGCGTTCGTGCTGTAAATGGGCTACATCTGTTGATTCAGGGAAATCCAATTATTTGTATGTGTTCCAGTGTGAGTCCAGGAGTTCCAGTATTGCATGTGTTTGGGATCACAATAAAATGATGGGTGCCATCATTTGCTGTTGCCACCCACCCTCCAGTCTCTAGTCCCCTTGTTGTCTGCCTCTCTCTGCAGACGTGCGTCTCCCGGCAGAGTCGTGAGCAGGCTCGTGTCAGAGCACTGTGGCGCCAGGCGGCTTCCCTGCGGAGCACTTTCACCCAGCTAAGGACTTTCACTGACAGGTGAGCGTGGCACGCTGCCAGAACCCCTCCAGCGACTCAGGATTCCACAGGAACCCCCACCTCCTCTTGCGTCTCACACTCACGACTGCTGCAACCGCAATCCGTCTCTCTCTCTCAGCCAAGGATCAAAGTGGAACAGGTCAACAGGGTTGCCAGTCCCCCTGCTTTCCTCACTGGGGAGGGAGGGGGGGGGTGGCTTAAGGTGTCCAGCCTCATTGTTGAAGTCATCCATCAGGACAAGGCTTGAGCTTCAGACATTGTTTCTATCCTGTTGAACCACTGTGAGCACTACTGAAGAGTAATTTGCTTTAACAATGATTGCTCAGCTCATAGACAGCTGTACAGTACTGTAACTTAAACTGAAGACACTTCAAAGTGAGCCCTGATCCCAGAGCTTAACCACTACAAACATCCCTCCTTTTCAAACACAAACAGACAGTTTCTTTAGTTAGGCTCATGGCTCACAACTGTATGAACGAAATCTTGATGGACATTACTTTGTTCCACAGGACTCTGTCTGATATGCGCGCGGAGTGTGTCGCTGCCAGCAGGCAGCTGCATGTCGCCTGCATGAACATAGAGGCCAAAGTAACACAGGAGAGCACCTCTAGTGGTGTGGAGATGTCGACACTGGAGAGGCAGCTGAAGGACAAGCTGAAAGAGGCCATGCAGCTTCAGGGTCGCTGGGATGCAGAGAAAGTGGAACTGAACTCCAGGTGAAGTCACCTCCGAGTCGATATGACCCGGTCTACCATTAAGACTTTCCTTCCTGTCTTTTGAAAATGGCAGCCAGAATGACACTATTTTGATGAGAAGTAGTTGATTTCATCGTCAGATCTGTAAAACAGAGCCATTCCACAAAGACCTTTTTAAATCTTGTGTTCATAAGTTTCATAGGAATAAGTCATTCAGCATGAAAACAGCATAAAAAAACTCATCGACTAAAGAAATCTCAGTCGACTGCGACGAAAATGGTCGAATAATTCACCAAAAAAATGACATAAGATAAATCTGCATTTTGTTTATGGGCCGCTGGTTGCTGGTTTCTATATTAACTACATTGAGGCAACCCATCCTTCAACTTATCTTTCAAAAGTCAATATGATCTTCACCATGAATAAATTCTAATGAAAGTAATTGTTCGATGAAGAGCATTTTAAGTCTGTGTCTTAAGTCAGTCTGTGGATTGTTTGACCAGGACTGTGGAGAAGGAAAATGCATCATAAACTGAAATAGAAATTCTGGGCGTGTTGTCATCCATAGTGCAATTGCAAAATTCACATTCTTCCTATGATTGAAAGGAAAGCCAAACTGCATTCCCTCATGTGGAACCCCAGAACTTTACACAGGCTTTGATCATAAAAATCCTGCACATCAAGCTTTTTTGGTGTCTTTTGCACTTCAGGCTGAGGACTGCAGGAATGTCAGGGCCTTTGTATTCAGAATCTTAGCTTGCTTTTGATCTTATCGGAAGTCATTGTCACCCCCACAATTCAATGCGGCAAATATGATAGTGCTGATGGTCTAGTAGAGGAGGAGCACATGCCACTCTTGTATCTGCAGTGTCTCAGATAACCCTGTGTGTGTGTTTGTTATCGCTCTCTTTTTCCATTTCCATGCATGTTGATCTATATAGAATCCTGGAGCTGACTGACTCGGTGAAGCACCTCCGCGGCCAGAGCAGCGAGAAGGATTCCAGCCTCAACACCATGCAGATCAGTCTGGACAGGATGGTGGGACTTTGGGAATCACGACTGGGAGGTGGTAGATAGACGGGTGGTTAAGGGGTCTGGACCCTAGGCTTGATAAACTCCACAACTTCCTTGTCTAGAGGGCTGCGGTCTGGGAAATGTCAGGCTTGCTGTGTGTGTGCGCTGCTTGTCTGACCTTAATGGTTTCCTGCTCAGGAGACGAGGAGAACAGAGGATAAAGCAGAGATGGAGGTCGTCGACATGGAGATCCAAGCCCTCCAAAATATTCTATGTCATGTTCACCAGGTCAGAACAAAACAACACACTGAGCTCGATCATACTTCAGGGTTAGCACACAAGAAAATGCATTACGTTTTGTTTTTTTCATTCTTCTTCATTATATGTGCCATATCCAGTTGGTTGGCGGTGAGGGTGATGGCAGTGGCTCTGAAAGTGCGTCCTCCTCACCTCTTCATTACCGGTCTCCTCTGAGGAACACCACCCTGATGGCTGTGCACAGTGCTCTCTCCAAGCACCAGAATCAAACACAGGTCCACCAAAAGTGGCTGCTCTTTGCTCATTGTAGATCTATGTTTTAGAACAGTGGCTCCCAGCCTGAGGGTAGGATCTCAAAAGAAATCTCTGTTTACCTTTTTCTTGTAAAATACTGTATTCTTTCACCTTTTCCTCCTCTAATGAGCAGATTTAGCTTAATTTTAAGAGACCGGAAGCCAAAAGAATGTAGGGAACCTCTGGTTTAGAGAGATAATTTGTTGAACATGTTGTTTCTTTACCTGCACACCACAAACAAACCACAGGAGCTGCGTGGGCGTCTGGATGCTGCCCTAGAGCAAGTGGAAACCCTGCGGGATCATCTGCAAGAGGGGGACACTGAGAGGAGAGAGCTGGAGCAGAAGATCCAGGAAGCAAGGAGGGAAAGTCAGGAGGCTAAAACAGCTCTGGAGGAAAACCTCAGAGACAGCAACAGACATCGCTGCTCACTGGAGCTCATGTCCAGGTAAACCCTGATCCTGCAGCTATTGTACTTTTTCAAGATTTCGGATAAAAGTAGTTGCTTAACTGTATTCTGTTTCATATTTTCTAGGTTTTGTTATTCGTAAAATCGCCACTTGGTTTAAATGTTGCAATAATGATGACAATTATATATATTTTTTTAATCAACTAGCAAATCTCTACCATCATTATCAGAATATATTTAAATGTATTGAAACCTCACCAAAAACAATATTCACACAAGAAGTGTTTATGTTGTGAAGTTTGTTGTTGATCAAGTGTTATAATAATGATGATGATCATTGTGCAACAACTGCCCTTCACACACACACTCTCTCCCTCCTCCTCTGCCTCCCTCTGGCTCCGTGTCTCACAGCGAGAAGGGCGGCATGGAGAAGCGGCTGTCAGGGCTGCAGCAGGAGGCGGACTCCCGGCGTGCCGAGCTGGAGGTATTGCGCGGCTCATCGCTGGAGCTCCAGAGACAGAGGGACCTCCTGAGGGAGCAGAGGGAGGATCTGGAGATGCAGCTGGCACGCCAGCGCACGGAGGCCCAAAGAGGGTACCGCACCAGCGATGGAGAGCGACCATTACACAACACACACCCCGTCACCCGTGATTGTTTTCAAGCACCGTTTGTTTACAGTTCAGATCAGTAACACATGTCATTCTCCGGCCGGCAATGCACCCAGATGACATTTGGAGGAAAATGTAAATGATTTACATTGCATTACTGCACTCATGCAAGAAGGAAACTTTGTGTTCCTCTTTCTGAGGGTTTATTTTGCTTAAAAAAAATTTGATTAGCTGAGAATTGGAGCAGGACATGCGATACAGCAAAAAAGCAACTCCCTCAGTGTTCTGGCCTTTGGCACCAACATTTCCCCATCTTTCACAGTGGAGATAGATTGCTGTTATGGAATTTCGTTTATATAAATAATCTGTGTGTGTGTGTGTGTGTGTGTGTGTGTGCGTGTGTGTGACAAAGAAACAATGTGTGAGAGAGTCATGTATGTGTTGCATTGTGTATTTCAGCGAGAGGAGTCTGGAGGAGCTTGAAGGGAAACACTCAGTTCTGCGTAGGGAGCTTGTGACGGTGAAGGAGGCTCTGAGTCAAATCACCCTGCAGAAGGAGGTGTTGGAAGATGATAAGGCCAGCCTCGCTCTAGCTCTCAGCAAGGTACAGGCTGCTTTGTTCCGGCAGCAGGTAGCCAGATCTTTATAACTAGATTCTCCCTAAGGATATAAATCCTTCTTATATTTACATTTCACTCCACAGATGGAGTCCCGGAGTGCTGCACACGAGTTAGCACTCACCAAACTGCAGCATCAGGAGGCTGCCCTTCATGATTCTCTGGCTAAAATGGCTGCCCTGAGCGAAGGCCTGGCCAAAGACAAGGTGGAACTCAATCGCATTCTGCTGCAGGTCAGTAGCCATTAGAAGCCAGCAGAAAGCAGAGTGTAACAGAACAGAAGTGAAATATTTTAGTTTCCCTTCCAGACTGAAGGGGAGAAGACGGAGCTCGGTGAACGTAGAAGGGAAGCAGAAACGGAGCGGGCAGCGGCCCGGGAGGAGACAGCACGGGTGCAACAAGAGAAGATGAATCTGTTCGCTGGGAAACAAACCCTGGAGAGCTCCCACGGCCACTTGCAGGATCTCTGCCAGAGGCTAGAAGCAGAGCGGAGCCTGCTGCACGAGGAGAACGCTCAGGCCCTGGAGCAGCACTCCCAGGTCAGAGACCCCCGGCCAGTCACACACACCACTTCAGCCTCCATACTCCCACCACCTGGGAGAACTATGTTGATGTGATTTATAGCTTTCAGCAGGTTCATGGAGCAATACATTAAGTGTATTGAAGGCACTGGACACATCTGCTATGCTTTTCTTTTTTTCAAACGGGATATGGAGAGCCGTTTGAGCCCCACTCTGTGTTTTATGAATAACTTGGGACATAACAAGCAAGGGACCTTCATGAACAAATGTGAACTGGAAAAGATAAATAGATAGACATATAATATATCCAGTGGGGGTTAGTGAACGACCCAATAAATGAACACCTAAAGTATTCCCATTCTTCCCTCCACTAGGTCCAGATCTCTGTGTTTGGTCCCCTAAAGAATGAGAAGAATCCTCTCCTGCTTTGTTATCTGTTCTGAATGTGAAACTGGGATATCCGCGTTGATCTCGGCTAAAATATAACAAACCTAAACAATTTGACAAATACCATCCAAACATTTTTAGACAGCTTATCTGTAAAAATAAATCAAATGTGTATGAAACAAGCCCTGGAGCGGCCCCCGATGCACTAAGCTCATGTTTCATCCCCTTATTGGGCACTACTCACATCCATAACATTTTTGCACTTCATCCACTTTCATATTTACTTAAGGAGAGGCTGAGAGACATCAAGTGCTAATATTTAGTTAGTGCGAGTTCATCTTAGTTTGGTTTGAAATGAACTTGCAGCGATTCTTGCTTTTCAAACAATTTGTTGCAGTGAAATATTAGAAGTTGCAGGGGCCCATTATAGATTCAACGATTGTATGATGGTGTGTTAGTAACTGGCCAGGGAAATACAATTTTGAGATCTTACAGTTAACAATAAACATTTTTTTCTGTTTCATATGGGGCTTTATTATTGTTTGATTTAAACCAGGAGAATAACACAGTTCGACATTTTGGGAAATATGCTAATTTGCTTTCTTGCTGAGCGTCAGATGAGAAGATCGATGCCACTCTCTAGCTGGTTAGCTTAGCATAAAAGACCTGACAGCAGCTCTAAAACTCACAAATTCACACTTCGTACCCTGTTTGTTCAAACTGTACACAAACAGTAATGTAAAGATGACAGGTTGTGGTTTTACGAGGAGTTACCAGTGGAACTATTTCTTGGCTTGGCCAGTGCAGTCTTGTTGTCACAGGGAGGTTGCCATGCGAGCGGCAGAGACTGCAGGAAGTCACTGACCAGGCCAAAAAATAGTTCCTGCACATAACCCCTTGTAAAATCACAACTTGTTGGTTTTACACTTCATTTTTTTGTACGGAGTAAAGTAAACAAAGATATAAAATGTTCTAGCTTTAGAGATGCCTATGGGCAGAGCCTAGCTGTGTCCCCATTGCTTCCAGTCTTAATGCTAAGCTAAGCTAATTGAAGCTGGCTCCAGCTTCATGTTTAACATACAGACATTTGAGTGGTATCCATCTTATCATCTGGGGGCGACCGTGGCTCACTGGCTTAAGAGGGTTGTCTGGTATAACCGCAGGGTCAACGGTTCGATCCTCGACTGGGACGTGTCACATGTCGTAGTGTCCCTGAGCAAGACACTGAACCCCGGCTCCCCGGGCTGCCTGTCATTGGCAGCCCACTGCTCCCTATATACAGGGATGGGTCAAATGCAGAAGTCAAATTTCGTGTATGTGTATATGTATATGACAATAAAAAGGGTTTCTATCTTACTCCAAATAGGCGTGTTTCCCAGAGCGTTGAAATATTCCTTTAAATGACACTGGACACCTGTTGAGATTCACTCTGACCTTTTAAGCCAAAGGTTGAATCCCAGGACAATCCTCTCCACAGTACCTTCATACAATAATCTGTTCCTGCAGTTTTATAAATGCTGAATAGAATTTAGGCGGTTCCGCATCAACTGCACATGTTCCCAGTTCATTATTTTTCTTGCTAGATATACAGTAGGTCCTGTGGTGTGTCACAGTGATTTAAGTGGTAACTGGGAAAAACTTGTAACCCCACTAATCATTGTTGTTTTGCTTCAGGCGGCGCATTTGTTATGGCCCAGCAGTTTCTATACACTGTCATGAAACGCCTAAAGTTTGATTAATTTATGCTTCATAACAGCAACAAAGAGGGATATGTAGAGTTCAATGTTAGTACAGCAAATGTGACTGCATAAAATGTAGAGGTTGGGTGGTTCATTCTCAGCCCAACAGATACACAATATCAACTGTGTTCCTTCTGCTGCTCATACTCAAAAGAAATCATAATTCACTGTGCAGTCATGAAGCACAAATGATAAATGAATTACTTGGTGGCATTTGTTTTTTACTTGTGTTTGTCGGCATCCAGGTCAACAGGCAGATGCAGACTGTGTCAGAGGAGCTGTGTGCGTGCAGGAGGGAGCTTGAGACCCAGACCACAGCCCTAAAGAGAGCTACCCATGACAGGGAGGAGCTGGCCAAGGCCAGTGCTGCTCTGGATGTCAAGCTAAACTCCGCTGACCGAAAGGCCTGTGGTGTCACGCAGGAGCTGGTTGCACTTAGGTTTGTGTGTGTGTTTGTGTGTGTGTGTGTGTGTGTGTGTGTGTGTGTGTGTGTTTGTTTATTTGTGTGGTCTGACCTCTAAAATGTTTGGGACCAATTTCATACTCAAAACTAGTTTTCTCAGTTTGTTTTCTGCAGTTGCATCCAGCGCGCGCTACGGTAAACAAGTCTCTGTCTTTATTGGTTAAGGTCAGGGCTGGGGTAGGCATGTATGGTGAAGAGTGTAAGGAATGAATGTAAGTCAGTAAATCTCCCCAGAAGCATCAGAAACAACCCAGTGTGTGTTTGTTCAACTCAGACCGACTGCCAATGTGTGTTTATGGTCATTTTCTTTACTTTATGAGCAAATTTTACTTTCTTGAGCACGGCAAGTCACATGTAAAATGAGTCTTTAAGTAATACGGTTTTATTTGGAAACTATGCTCATGATGGATCATTGAATTTTATGACCTACACCTACTGGTTCAAAGGTGTGTTTTTTTCAGAGCTCAAACCCATTCACCACTTTGTTCCAGAGCGGAGAAGGAGTCCCTGGAGACGGCTCTGTATGAGAGCCAGGAGCTTGCCACTTCTCTGGAGGTCGAGTGCACCAGGATGGAGGGGGAGAGGCGCAGCTTGCTGCTGGCTAATGAGGCCTTGACGCGTGAGTAGCCCCCTCCCTCAGAGACCCCGCTGTCCTCCGTGCCAAGCCCCCCGACCATGAAGCCTTTCCAACAGCCCACTCGAGATCCATATTTCAGCTCTGAGCTCTGCAACAGCTGGGCTGCAGGATCATGGGGCTGCTTTCTCAGCTGACCAGGGTCCCACCACCCCGCACAAACACACATGGATCGGATAAGTCGTGTTAAGCTAGCATGTTCCACATAAAGACACGGATGAGTGTCCCCTATAAATAAAACTGTGAATCAAAATCTTGCTGATCCTGGGCGCCTCCATCTAATTATTGAGTGGGATTTTGACAGAGATTGGATTCCTCTGTACAGGTGATGCCGCTGGGATGCGTGTGGATGCTGAACGCCAGTTTGCGCAAGCAGCGCAGGAGCGGAGCAAGCTGGAGGAGAAGCTGGCACAGGTGGAGAGGAATGGCCTGCTGACCCTGAACAGCAAAGAGCAAATCCACAGAGAGCAGCTTGAAGCCGAACGACGGCAAAAGGTTCAGTAAGACTTGAGCAGTTATGTTTGGCTCAACAATAAATCCGATGCTTTAGCTATTAACTAATCAGGAGTGGGTGTGTGTGTGTGTGCTTGATGGTTGACAGGAACAACAGTGCGCGGAGCTGACAGTTCAGCGGGAGCAGGTTGAGGAGCAGCTGCGTAGACAGTGTGAGGAATGGCGTGTGCACAGCCAGAAGGAGCTGCAGCACGTGCAAGAGGAGCTGGCCAGGCAGCAGCAGGACTTCAACCAAAGCCTCCTGCAGGCTGAGAGTGAAAAGCAGCAGGTGTGTGTGTGAGGTGGTCTTCATAGGTTTGTTATGATTGTTTATGAACCTTAAAATGTAGAGTGAAGTATTTTAGGACAGGCCAAGGGTTGGAGAATTGTCTCATTACCACAACATCCTAAGTTTTGTCTTCACAGTTGCCAGTGAATGTCCATCAAAAGCAGTATGTCCTGCCAGTATCCTCATGCAATACGCGAGGTTCATTCCTTGTCCTTCTGTGGACATTTATCTAAGAACAATAGCTGCCAAACCTTTTTGTGAGCTATAGTATGAATGACCCTGACCTCGCAGTCTGTTGTGACCAGGCTTTGTCCCAGAAGGAGGTAGAGAAGGCTGCCGTCACGGAGAAGCTCGCCGCCCTGCAGCAGGACCTGGCCACAGCAGGCATGGAGCTCGAGTGCATGCAGAGGGAGGCACTTACAAAACAGGAGCAGGAAAGGGTAAAGATAAGGCAGGGTCACATTGGCTCTGGTCACTCTCCTTGTTCTTCACATATCACTCAGCCAACCGATTTGTGTACCTCTGTGGTCCAGAACGCAGCGGCCGTCCTTCAGTCTGAGCTGCAAGACTTGCAAACTCAGTTTGAGGAATCTTTGAACTCCCACGAGAATGCCAAGAAGAGTCTGATTGAGCAGGTCAGAGAGTTGAACCAGCAGAGAGAACATACACAACAGGAGGTGAGAACCTTTTTTCAGGCTTCCATTTAAACAGAAATATCATGGATATTGATATGAACAGGGAACTATGAAGAAAATCAAAAAGTAGGATCACAGAAGTGGATAGGAAATACAGGCTTGTTTGGCTTGGCATAGGATGGGAGACCATGGATCTGCTTCTAGCGTGTGGGGGGAAGTTTGCACCAATTAGTACCAGTGTGAGGGAGAGCCATTTACCATACGCCGCTGTTGACATTGGCCGATGCCGCAGAGCTTTACTAGCATCAGGGTGCCATCAGGTGCAGAGTGCGCAGGGCCAAATCCTACAAGGAGGTGGTGTCCAATCTTAAGACTCCCTCTCCATACTCGCTCTCTGTGTCTTTTTCCTGGAGGAAAATTTAGTTCCATTGACCTTAATACAAACATAAAAGCGCAATTAGGGACCATAATTTTGGCCCAGTGACATAACTCCCTGAGCCAAATGAGAGCCGTAAATCTCATCTCTTGGGGTTGCTTGAGGTCAGGATCGCAGCCACAGGGTCGCTGGGCGTTTTAGTGAAATAACAAGCTCACAGTCACCTCATTAAGATGTAACTGCAGAGTTGTAAGGGCCTCACCATGCCTTGATTTAAAAGCCTGGTTTCCCTGGAAAAGGGGTTTGTTTATCTGTGTTGAACTTTGTGGTTTCGACGAAAAAGCAAAAAAAGAGGATCATCCTGTCTTTGCTCTGTCTCTTTAGTCTTGTCAGAGTATAGTGAATGAGGCTGTGTGGAGCCAAAGCAGAGGAGTTTTGAGGTTTGGACAGCCCTCCCCACCATATATCAAGTCAAGCTTCGGCGACACTGTCATATTTGGCCACCACCCCTGCCCGTTTCCTTGTTTGATTATTTTCACTAATCCCATCGCAGGATTCTCATGTCAGACTGTGACAAAGCAGGAATGAGAGTGTGTGACAGAGAGCTAGTGAGCATGAAAGAGGAAAAGAGCGAGAGGAGAGAGGGAGAGCAAGGGGGGGGGGTTGGATACGGTCCCTGTTACCATAATATGAAATCAAAGTTTGAGTTAACCCCTTGTGTAAATAAGCCAGTGGGGGAGTGTTTATTTTCTCCCTTGCAGCAGCGAGAGGCTGGCTCCGCTGGGACTCGAGGTCCCCTACTCCCATCCACATAACACAACACTGCTGCCCTCATATTCCCTGCACTTCTCCTCCACTACCCCCCCCCAAAGAAATATCTGATAAAATAAAGTATAATTGGCAAGATCAGCACTGGCTTGTTTTTTCTCACATTAGAGTTTATGAGAAAAAATCCTCTTGTGTGGCCTCTGAACATAACACTCCTCCTCATCCTGCTGCTCATCCTCCCCCTCCCTCCCCCTCCGCCACCTCCTCCTGTTTATCATGTTGCTCTCCGTGGATTCTTTACACTATGCAGTAAGGAGATGGGGAGAGACAGCACCTGGCTACAGGCCCGACTGGCTCTCATCCATGCCCAGATAAGCTCTGTCCTCCCTGCTTTTCTTGCAACACACAACATATTGCAATAAAATTGAATATAGGTTGTACAGTGTCTTAAGATTGTGCGCATAGCACTTAATAGTAGATGTTGAGGTTTAGCTTTCAAACAATGAAGCTCAAATGCGTTATCTGATCCAAAATCAGCCTTGCAGTATGCTGATGGATTGTTCCTTCTCGATATTGATGATTACATACATGTGTTTGAGCTTTCAATGTACTGTAAATAACAGCCTAATAGAAGTTTTTGAGGATATACATTTATATTTAAAACAGACATGTTTTAAAAGCATTTGAAGGCTTATTTTTTCTTTCTTTTTTTAGGTCCCAATGAACTCTTCAATTAACTGTTTATAATAGGATGCTTATACACATTTAAATTTATAACACCAAATAAATTCGGTATTTGGTTGACATCAATCAAGAAACCAGGAACAAGAAAAAAAAGCTTAGAATTTCTAGATAGGAGTTTATCTAGCAACTTCATGAATAAGAGATTTACTGTTTATCCATAAGACCTCCCTATTCATCCTCTTTGACACATCACACCTTTTATTCTCCATAATCTCGACATGAAGTTAGAGGGCCTTCGTCGGCAGCTGCAGGAGGCAGAGGATGGACTTGTTAAGGCGCGAAGGGCGTTGATTGAGGCTCACAGAGAGCTCCAGGAGTGTGCACAGGAGCGGGACAAGCAACGGAAAGATGCCCTGGACCTGAGAAGGCTCTTGGGTGACGAAACCAGAGAGAAAGATGCTATCCAAGCGTCCAACCAGGAGCTAAGAGCTTTCATCAAGAGAGCAGAGAGTGACAACAGCAGGTACGGCTGTCACATGGAACTGCAGATTTCCTATAATGTCAGCCATCTGTCATGTTAACTTGAAACATATCTTGACTAGCTTGAGACGAGCCCTGGAGGAGAGGGAGCAGAAAGTTGCTGTCTCAGAGGAATGTAGGAGCTCGATGCACCAAGAGGCAACCACCCTACGGAGTAGCATGAGGGAGCTGGAGAAGTCTCGCCTTCAGGCACGCAGAGATGTGCAGGAGCTGCGCAGACAGGTGAAAGATTATTGAGCCTAACTGCTTTCCATCTGATTTATTCCAAATAAAGGATTACCTCCAAGTAGTGTGTGCTGTGTTAACGTGAGCAGGTAAAGGTCCTCGAGGGCGAGAACGGCCACCAGAAACGGGAGCTGCGAGAGCTGCAGGCCCGGGTATGTCAAGAGGAGCAGAAGGAGGAGGAGGCGTGTCGCGAGGCTTTCACCTTTAAGCAGAGAGTGCTGGAGTGCGAGGCTGGCAGAGACGCAGCACTGAACGAGGTAGAAGGCCTCCGGGAGTTAGTCTGTTAACAACATGCTAGAGCAAACATTCTACCTTTGCGTACATACTTGAAGAATACCTGCCATACTCACACAGAGACAGAAAACATGAACGACAGAACACTGTATATTCTACTGTAACAGTGACGGGGTGTTGGGTTTTACTTTGAAATATTGTGAATATATAGCTGAACAGCGGTTTATTAAAGAAACTCGATGTCATTGCAAGCTACCAGAAAAAAATTTATGAATTCAAATGTTATGTTTTGATTAACAGCTATGCAGGAAAAATTATGCTTTCTATTCTAATTAATATATATTTTTTTAACCTATATGTCCCATAACCCCATAACCCCATTCTTGGGGTCCCCAAATTCTCATGACTGCAGTAGATAGTGTTGTCAAGTTAATGTATGGCATACTTTTGTATTCTATTTCCAAGAGCATGGAGGCAACTCCTCATTATTATGATATATTTGAAGTTTGGTTTATGTATTCTTTTTCAAAACTAAATACAATACATAATAAACGTCAGTCTTTGAAATGCTGTTTCATTTTATGCCTCAGTCATGAGTTTTGTGCCTTCTTAACTTCTCATGATACAGTTTTAAAAACCCTATCAGTGGACTTGACACCCGTGTCAGCTTAAAGCACATTAACCCTTTACAGAAACCATGTTCCCATTATTTACACAGTGTTTGTCACTAGATAACACTCGAGGCACTATTCTTCAGGAATTACGTGGTAGTGTTGTTTTTCACTGCGGCAGTTAGGACTATGTTCAGCCCGTCGCCCACATTTCTGCAAACGTGACATCCCTTTATCCAAACAACTCTCTTATTAAGACCTGCCGCAACAGAATTTAAGAAAGGGAAATTAATTGGCAGATCATCATATAAAGTAGCATACTGTGTGTCTATATACTGACTTAACTATTACATTTATGATTTTAAACATGTACAAAAAACAAAAAAGTAAGCAGCTAAATGTAAACAGCTTACCGGGAATTAAAGGTATGAGTTGACAAGTGTGTCTTCAAATTGTAAAAGATTATGAATCCTCTAAAAGCAACCCAGTTTTGACCTGTATGCAATTTACAACATAATCCACAGTAACACCTACATGCATGACTAGTAGAGAGTATTAGGTTTGTATTGAGGCTCTCTTCTGTGTGTGTGTGTGTGTGTGTGTGTGTGTGTGTGTGTGTGCGTGTGTGCGTGCACGCACGTGCGCAGGTTTCAGGTCTGCAGCGCCGTGTTCTGGAACTGGAGCATCAGAACCGGGAGCTGCTGCAGGACAGAGAGGCTTATCAGCTGCAGTGTGACCAGAGGAACAGAGAAACCACTGCCCATATGGAGGAAGCACTAGAAGACGCCGGGATCCAGGTCAAGCAACTCTCTGTGCAGGTCGGCCTTGCTGAAAGCAAGGTCCAGGGCCTGGATGAGCAGCTCGGCCTCGGTGACACCAAACGCAGGGACCTGGAGCTCAAGTTGGCGGGGTTGTCTTCAGCTCTGCGCCGCACTGTTGGCACCGGCCATGCAAGGCTTTCGGGCACACCTGGGTCCCACAAACGGTCTCCCTCTCCCTGGAGGAACCACCTGCAAGTAAAAGGTATGGTCATGCCCTTCCATAATAAGATGATGCAAATATTTGCATTTTATTTGCATGAATAAGTGTGTTCTTTGGTTAGGGGGAGACAATGAGACAGACAGATCCGTGTTGTCCTTGTCTCGTGGTGAAGATGAAGAGCTGGATGTGGACACGGTGCATGCTGCCCTGCGGGAATTCCAGCAGGAACTCAGGGACACACAAAGAGACAGGGTATATTTGAACTTCTTAATAACTGAATAAAGGCTCGACAACACACACCTCAAACTGTGTGACTGGGATTGTTGGCCTGAAGTCGGTCTTGCTTTGCAGATCACCAGATCTGCTCAATAAATAAATATAAATAACAAACAAATCACAATATATAAATTTAATTCACTTACTACATTTGTTGTGTTTGTATTTCAGCACAATGTTTGCAATTGTGTTATTCCCTCAGGATGAAGCCAAGGCTCAGATAGCTGGTCTAAGTCAGCAGGTGACAGAGCTCCAAGACAGCCAGGATAAGTCAGCCACCCAGCTGCTACAACTCCAGAGGTCCCTGAAGCAATCAGAGCACGGTGAGAAAAGCAGGAGATCCTACAAACAGAGTAAATATCAGTTATTAATTCTGTGTAGACATACTGCTCATTTAACAATTCAACATATTGTTCCAGGAAAAAGAGAGATGGCAGAGCGGTTGCACGAGGCGCATACATCCCTTTCCCTGCAGGAAGAAATAGTATGTTGCACAGAGAGGGAGAAGAGAAGCCTTGAGGAGGAAGTGGCTCATCTCCGGACCAGTCTGCAAGCTGCTGAGGCTGAGACCAGGGCACTGCAAGTATGTCAAAGGCCAGGAGATAGATATTTACCAACACAGAGTGCAGCATCTTCAGTGACAGCTGATAAACTGTCCTGTGCCAATTCCTCTGCAGGACAAGTTGGAGCTCCTGCACGGCTTAGAATCGCGCGCAAATGTAGAACAACAGAAGCTGAAGGAGTCCCTGCATGGAGCAGAGAGCAGGGTGAGCCGCTTGGAGCTCTCCCAGCGCACCCTTGAAGGCGAGCTACAGAGGGCCCAGCTCAGGGCGGCAGAGCTGGATGCAGAGGCAGGGGCCTTGCAGGAAAGACTGACGGAGCTGAGGAGGAAGCTGAGTGAGAGCGAGGACCGGGGCGCAGCACTGAGGGTCAGCGAGGAGAGGTTGGCCACGTCGCTGGCTCGAGCTGAGCAGCATGAGAGCCACCTGAGGGAACAGATCCACAAATTGTCCAACACCCTCAGCGACAACAGGACCAGCAGCGGAGCCCTGCAGGAGCAGATCCCACAGCTGCAGAGGGCTCTGACTGCCAGCGAGCAGGACCGAAGGCTGCTGCAGGTACAGAGTTTTAAGAAAAAAACATTTCTATAGCATAAAACAAATCATGTTCACAGTGTATTTTTTTATTTGCAAGCTTCCCCCCATCTCTCAACACAAAGATGTTTGATTGAAACTTCAAAATACGATGAATAGCCATGCCTGCATGGCTGTGCTTTGATTTACAGTGCAGCTATGTAACCTTCTCAGCTACAGACTGAGCATTTCTTATTTACATTTGCCTCTGAGGTTTTCCTGAAGGACCTCAATGACCGAGCAATAAAATGCTCGGGCAAGCTCATTAATTCTCCAAGAGCTTCTCGGGAGAGCTTTCCGGTCTTAGTGTGGGACTGCACTTTAAAGATACTGAGCAAACAAAAACATGACATGCTTAGTATAAATCTCTTGATTTGCTCAAAAGCTGTCAGGTCATTGCAGTACACATACACTTGTTCAACAATATGTCAAGGGCTGTAAAAAGACACAATATAAAGGAAATGGGAGGAAATTCGGGTCAGCCAAAATCGTGTTTTGATGAAACTTGTATATCAACGTTTGTGTGCCCATAGGAACGTCTGGATCAAACACGAAATGCCCTCTCAGAGAGAAAGAGGCTGAGCCACACACTAACAGAGCAGACCCAGAACCTTCAAAGAGCCCAAGAGGACTTGGAACTTCAAAACTCTGAGCTGGAGAAGCACAACAGGACCCTGAAGGAGGTGAGTCTCTCTGCAAATATAGGCGCAAAGGGCGAAGCTCCATCTTGATGTGCTGATGATTGACTCTGTCCCAGAGCCTGAAGCAACAGCAGGATGCTGAAGTGCAGGCCCAGGGGAGCTCCCAGCAGCTGCAGCAAGAGAAGGAGGAACTCCAGGACAAGGTCACCAATCTGCAGAGCTCTTTGCAAAAGCTGCAGAGTGAGAGAGCGGAGATGGAGAGGGTGCTGACGCGCCTCGGTAAAGACAAGTCATCACTCAGGAAGACACTGGAGAGGGTGAGCTGACCTATCTGCTGCACTGCACTTTAGAAATAGTTTGGCATTATGGAAAATAAGTTTATTCTCGTTATTGCTGAGTTAGATTGATAGCAGCATCATGTCTGTATGGTAAATATATATGAAGCTACTGCCAGTAGCCGGTTAGCTTAGCTTAGCATAAAAACAGGAAACAGTCTCTGTAACAAATACACATGGATATATACATATACAGTGTATATATATATATATATATACTGTGTATATATGTATATATATATATACAGTATATATATATATATATATATATATATA